CTGCGGCACCCAATGGGCAGGCTCAGCAGAAAAGTCCTTTTGAACTATATCTCATTATTTTCCCCTTTTGCTTCTGAACCTTTAAAGTCCCTGTCAGCAAGGGTTTAGTTGAAGCCTTGCAACTTGCCTTTTGTCTTCCACAAATGATCAAGCTATGCCCCGGGGAACAAATGCCATTTTAATGGGCATTGTTGTGTAATTCATTACATAAGTCACCTTTGTGTTCAAAGGACTCGTGGCACAAATGGCAGGAGCGGTTGATTAAAACTGTGCACCATAGCTTCATTATGACATGGGGAGAAACGTCTGTTATTTTTAATCTGGTAGCTTTTAAATGCCTGCATCTATCAGAGACCCAAATGGCCTTTAAAAGGGGCTGTTGGATAAGATTTTAGACTTCTGCATTCTTTGTAACAAGCCTTGAGAATCAGTTCAAGCTGCAAAGTGAACTTTAGCTCCCTTTTTTAAAGGCTTTCTCTCTCTAAAGCTGCAGGGTTGCTGCGTGTGAACAAGTACAGAATGGGAGAGGACGGAGGGTTTCATTTTTCAGGTGTGGGATAGAAAAGATACTGTATTCTGAAGCTGAAGAAAAAAAAAGTACATTTTCATTTTTGGTGGATATGATGCAAACACTGGCCAAGTTGAACTGTCAAATGGTGCATCGCTGTGCCTGTCACTGAGCAGCACACCAACGTCTCCGCAAGCCCAGGAGCAGACATGGGGGTTTCCTTCTCTCTCCGAAGATTCCTTCAGCTGCAGGTGGGAGATGGCCTGCTCTCTGCTCTGAGCTCTGCACAGTGCTGAGCTTTCACTTTGACTTCAGACTGAGCAGTATGCTGCCAGCTAGGCTGCTGGAATTCACCAGCATGTGTGTTTTGACTTTAGTTTCTAGTGGCTTTTTGAACCTGAGTGGAAAACAACCATTTCTCTATGCTAGCAGTGCTGCAGACACTGGGCTTTGACTTGCTGGCTTTCCCCTAAGCAGTCTAGTTCCTTCACACACAGGCACACAAACCAGTGAGCAGCCTTTCTTTGTGCCTCTTATTCCTGTCTGCTTTGCAATCTGCAGTTCTTTCCTCATCACACCCAACTTTGCCAGCACGCTGTGAGCAGCAGGGCCGTGCTGTGGGGCTGGGCTGTGGGCCTGCAGTGTGGCCAGCAGCAGGGCCGTCAGTGCACACCCTAAAGGGGGTTCCTGAGGTCGGTGTGTGGTCAGAGCCCAGGCACGTGCAGACCTGGGGGAGATGGGCTTCAGAGCCATGCGAGGCCGTGACTCAACAGCTGGAACATGTTCAAGCACAGGAGCCTTTTTAATAGGGGAATGGAACTAGCTGTGAAGCAGGTGATGTATGAAAACTCCCAGTCAGGAACTAAGAAACTCAAATCCATGGTAAAGTAATTTTGAAGGGATTTTTTTCTTTTTCCAGTGATGTGCAGCAGCAAGGCATCCAGACGGATGAAATAGGAGGGGGTGGGAAGTTCCTTTGTGACGGAAGTGCTTTGATACAACGATGTCTTTTTTTCCCCATTCCAGTTGAAATCACTACATCCAGCTTCTTACCCTGCCTTTTCCCATTCATCTTATTAATTTGGATTCTGTAGAAGTGTAAATGTAGGTACCCCACTTCTGCCATCGGAGAGAAGAAGCTCGGGAGGCTGGTGCTGTTATTCAGCGAAACTCTGCCAATTCCTCATCAACAGGAGGAGGGAGTAATTTGATAGAACAGTCTCTGATGGGCAGATTCCCAAGCTCAGGAACAGCATCAATGCTGCCTTAAGGAGTCTGGTTACAGCAGACAGGCAGGAAGGTGCAGAGGGACAGAAGTGTCTGGAGCTCTGTCGTGGCTCTGTTTTCTACTCATTGTACATTATCAAATTATTTGATCAGTGAAGGCATGCTGTGCTGTTTGAACTTTTAACTGGAGAGGCATAGCATGCTATATACTTGAATGAATACTGGATGAAGTAAGTGAGCTTTTAAAAGCAGAGGTAACCAACCTAGGCAGCCTTGCACAGCTGTGCTTTTTATAGGCAGGTTTTAGCCCTCCTCTGTAAAAGCTTTGGCTGCTTGCAGCTTTGATCTAAAATACCTTCCTATCTCAGCGCAGCTTCTTTGAGACCACTTCATCTGAATTCATTACTATGCAAACTCTATTTATAATGCTTGCCTGGTAACCCTAAAGCCTATCATGCTGAATGTCTGTTGGCATTCAGTGAATATCATAGAATCCTTAGAGTTGGAAGGGACCTTTAAAGGTCATCTAGTCCAGTATGATCACAGCAGCTCCACAGTTTGACTCATGAATACTGGGAGGGTGACCGAGGTTTGCAGCGTGATTTTTATGTTTGGAAATGGAGAGATTCTGCACCTGAATCATTGACTGACTCTATGCTCTGTTTAGGCAAGTTGCTTCACCTTCACAGATGTGCCAAACAAAGTTAAGACCCAACTGTTTAAGGATGATGCGCTTGCAACGTGCTTGGAAAAAGATGAGAGCTGTTTTAAGTGCCAAGTGCAACTGAGTCTGAGAGAATGAGTTTGTGACTCATTTGGTTAACTACAGCTGCATCAGAAACTTACGAGCAGATGAGATCTGGAAAATGCTTATTGTAGTTGTAAGGACAGTAATAAAAAGCTGCACGAATGTGTGGTTGTCAAAATAGGTCTTAACAGGGTTGCTCAAACAATAACCTTTATTTCTGCATCTGGCAGCTGTTTTACTTCGATAGTACTATTTTGAGGAGTTCCCATTCTGCTTCCACTTATTCCTTTCCTGGCTCTGCAAGTCTCTGTTCCCTCAGAGTGCTGCCATGCAAGTGATTCAGCATTTGATGTGATGGAAGGGGACGAAGGTAAAGGGCAGTGGGTGGGCTGGTGGCAGTAGTGAAGGGGATCTGTTGTTGGCAGAAGAATAGATTTCCTCATGGGCAACACATCGTTCTGAAGCTGCTGGCCGTGCACCCACTGCTGAGCAAAGTTGGGTAGAGATGGCTGATGGGAAGAGGAAATGGAAATTGCAGTCTTCTGAAACCTTCCTGCTTTCTTGCCTCTACAAGGCTGAATTATCACTGTAAACAAGCAAGGAGCAAGGGTTTTTTCCCCCCAGACAAACAGCTTGGATCTTGCTGCTGCACGTGGAGGAGCCAGACATAATTTGTTGCTGCTACCGTAATTTTCCTGTAGATTAATTATTTTAACTGTCTGCCTGTCCTTTCCAAAATGAAGCCTGAGCCATGACTTTCTCAGCCTGCATATCTACACATGTATGAAAGTTCTCCCATCGTGTACCAAACAATTACTTTTTTATGGTGTATGAGGGCAGCCAGGCGCTGTTTTCAGTGGTGACCTTCAACACTGTGGAGCCAGAGAGGTTTTAAAGGGTAGGAGATCCCCCTGTGGATGTAAAGCAGTGACGTAAATTGTTGCTAAGTTGGGGTGCCAGCTGCTACCAGTGATTCCTCAGAGTCCACCTGATACCTCTGGGTTTAAATGCAGTGACCAGCGTTTGTGGTGCCTCCCTCCCCAGTGCGTTGAACAGGAGACTCTATACTGCAAAGAGAGCTTTGAGAACCCTGTAAGCGGGGAACGGGTCTGCAGCCAGACAAGATGAGAATTGAAGCTTCCATTAATAGCATGCCTGCAAAATTTTTGATCCAGAGGACCTAACTAGCTGGAGTTTTGGCTCCGGTGAAGGTGTTAATAGCAGGGTCTTAATGTCCTGCCTGGTAAAAGCTGAAGGGGAGACAGCCATGAGGGGGGACCAGCAGAGGTTCTTTCCCTCGAGTTGTGGTTAGGTGATTTCTGGGTATTAGGAGTGGTGTTCACGCTGCAGTGTGGCATTTAGCTTCGGGGTGCTAGATTTGACTCAGCAGCATTTTCTGATTGCAGTCTGCATGCTAACGAGGTGGAGCAGTGCTGCACGTGGGGACTGGGTCGTTCTGACTCATTGCAGCCAGTGCAGCCAATTCCCAAATAATATAAAAGAAAAAAGGAAACGTACAGCAGAACTGCTTACTTTTCCTGACAAGGTAGCTAAAGGTAAGTTCAGTGTCTTTGGCTGAAGTATTTCGGTCACTAGAGAAGCAGTTCAAACCTTCATTTATTAAAGTACTGCTTGCTTAAAATACATTCTAAATTGCTTTCAAGGCAGCATAGTTTTATCTAGCTTGCTGGATAAACAGAGAAAGACATCTTTCACCAATGAGTTTGCATGTGGCATGACTGCAAACCTTTGAGACTTCTTTTAGATCATCAGAAAACTTTGAAAAGGCAAGCTTTTCAAAAGGTCTGAGTGGTTCAGTAATAAACCTTCTTTGGGGATGCACCAATATTGAAGCTATGCCCTCTGCCCATATGGTTTATGTTGATACATTTGGAGTGTGGTCTGCTGTGAATGGCTGGGACTGGTACTTTTCTTCAGATAATTCATGCAGCCCCAACCAAAGGCAGTGCTGCCAGGTGAGCAGAGCGAAGGACCAGCAGCCTGTGAAGGGCAGTAGGTCAGCCTGTGTTTTTCTGTCCTGGGTACCTTCTTGGTGGCTCCTTGACCCCAGCAAGACACGAGCAAGGCTCAGGCACCCAGATTCCTTCCCTGCTCTGAGAACAAGCCACTTCATCCCCTTGACTTCATTTCCTTGTGTGCAAGAGAGGGATGGTGGTTACCTCCTTCATAACGTACTTTGGGATTTGCTGGGGCTGAGTGCTTTTAGGAGATGTGTTTTTCCTTTTCTCTGCAAGGCACAGAGGAATAGGATCCTGCTGTTCCTGCCTTGGCACTTCAGTGTATCTGCCTCCAAGGGGAAGCAGGAAATGGTGGCCATATTGCGGTTGCAAACATAATAGAGAGTCACAATTATTTTTTTTAATCCTGTTCCACTCAACAAATTAACATGGTTGCAATGATTTTCATAGGCTGGTTTCCCAGATAATGCTGTAGCACAACTTCCCTGTTTTCAGCCAGTTTACCCTAACCTTGTGATGCTTTTCTGTGTCTTTCTAGATTCCGAGCGTTCCCATCTCTCCTCATTCACTATGAAGTTGAAGGGCAAGTTTCATTCACCAAAAATAAAGAGAACTCCTTCCAAGAAGGGAAAGCAAGCTGACCTGACAGTGAAAACACCAGAGAAGTCAGCGAATAAAGTAAGCAAATGAAGAGCATCTTCTATTGGTCTCACTGGTTTCTTGCTTTCTGATACTCAGGTTTTTAAAATCTACAGCTCTGCTTTCTGTCTGTGACTTTGCCCTATGCAGAATTCTGCAGATACGTCAGGGAACATCAGGATGCTTTCTGGTTAGTTTTAAACTGTATTATGTAGTGTACAATAAGAGGTGGATTTTCTTTTCAAGTCGCTGATGAAGCTTCCTTCCATCATTGTTTAAATGTCTCATTACAGAATGTAGTTTAATGCCTGACACATCTTCCCAACATGCACACCCTATGATTATGCTTACAGCTTCCAGTTTACTGCCTGGTTTTGGGGTGTGATCTTAAAAATCCAAAACCCTGGCGAGCAAATCCTTGAAGCTCGTCCAAAGATGTGCTCAATCTCTGATGATGTCAGCAGGGAGAGTCAAGCAGATGCCTTCAAGGAGCAGCTGATTCCAGCACACCATTCCTCACATCTAGTGCACTTCAGTCCCTGTAAGAGCTGAGCTCACCACTCCTTCCCAACACAGACACACATCAGAGTTATCTCTTCTGTTGCTGTGGCCTGATTATGTAGAACAGAGGCTATCTCTGGACAGTACTGTTGCAATACATTTTCAAGTACAAATTAAGTCAGAAGTTAAGAACAGCCAAGGTTACTTGTGATAATTCAGACTCTTTCCCAGTTGCTGAAAGCCTCCAATGTGCAGTGCCAGACGTGCAAACTTTTTGGATTATCTGCTCTGAGGACTGCTGTGCTGTTACTGCGAGCAGTCAGCAAGGTACAGCTATCTTACACTGTGTGATGTGCTTAGCAACCAGGGAAGCAGCTGCACAACTTCATGGTTCTGCCCTATCATGCAGGAAAGGATGAGGCTGTAGGTTCTTTCTGCAGGAGGCAACAGATAGCTTTCCAGGGAGCTGAGCACCTTGCATTGCCCCGCATGCATACCGGCCTGCTGCCAGAAGTCTTGAGAGCACTCTCTGAAGGCTTTTAGTTCCAGCAGTGTTTGAAGATGGTATGTGAAGATCAATTCAGAGGCTTATCTTGTAGGACGTACTTTTGCTCTAAAAATGCATTGGATCATTTTACTGGGAAGTTTTTTCTCAGTGTTATTTTAATTGATTGATTCACTAAAACGCATGTAGGAAATGCAGAAGTCTTTCCTTTAAATTGATGCGTGACCACAAATGAAAGAAATTATAAAATGAAGAGCCATTTTCAAAATGCTGTTCTGTAGCAAATACACAGTAGCATTTTTTTTATGTACAGAATGGGATTTTTTTAATTGGAAATCAAAGCACTTGAAATAATTGTTATTATTGTAGACAATTATTTCAGCTGTATACATTTTGTACTGTGAAATATTGATTTCTGGTGTTGTCCTTCTCTAATTTAATAGCCACAGTCCAACTAATCAATTAGTTGGAAATAGCTCATCAGCTTGGTGTGGAGGGGAGTGGAGAAGAGGATGTGCCTGAACTGTCACCTGGGTCCCCACTGGAACACAGTGTCAAGATGTCTTGACAAATAAGACATTTTGTGTCAGAAGACACACTTGCTATACTAAATAATCCTTTCTTCCCCTTTCAAGTTCTAGGTGCTATTTTTATACTCTTGAAGTAGATAATCACTCTACAGCAGAAATAGCAATACTAAAAATCAGTATAAGATCGCTGCACGTAACCTGAAGGTTGTGCTCAGTGTGCATCTCCTCTTCTTCCCTTTTATACCTGGATGTGGCAAAAATATATTTCAGAGCCTGTTTGTGTGCTGGGCCATCTTTGATTCTAATCTGAGGACATACTGTAGTGTCCTTCAACACTGCTGTTGCAGAGTTAGGACGGAATTTTTACTGGTAAAGTACAGGGAAAGAAGTGACTTGTTTCTGCTTCTGTAAGTGGTTGTATGGCCCTCTGTAACCCATCTGCATTTCATATATGATGCATTTGTAATGATTGTTTTAAGGGAAACTATTCAAATTCATGCGAAAATAAAAATCTGCATGTGTCGAGTAGGCAGGAAAGTGGAGAGGAAATGTTGTGTTGCCTGAATGATCTCCTTTAATGCCCATCTGGGACACTGCTGAAGCAAGTGGTAGCACTGCTTCAGTAGCTCCTGCAGCTACAGATCTGCTCCAACATAAGGGAATATAGCCATGGGTGCAAGTTCATCTCTGCTGAGGAATTCAATGAGAGATTACTTCCAAGTCTTCTCTCCAGCCCAGAAAGATTCCATCCTATGTTTGCTTTGGCTTTAGGAACACACTGAAAAAAACCTCCAGGCTCGTAGCAACAACTGACACTTATGTATTTGAGCTCTGTAACACAACCTGCCATCCTTGCAGGACACGCAGGCTTTTTCTGTGTATGTTTGTGTGTCTGTACTCTCACATAGATACGAGCTCTTTGCACCTGAGAAAGAGATGCATAAAAGGTGCTCTCCCAGGGTTCTTTCCCAATGAGCTAGCAGGGAAGTCATGGAAAAAAGGGCTGTGTCCCACATAGCGTCTGGTGGCTGCTGTGCGTGCCTTGGTGTGCTCAGTGGAAAGCTTTGTGTTTCCACGTGTCAATCCCAGGCCCATCCCTCCTGTGTCCAGGAGAGTGTTTAAGCTATTAAGTCACAAGCCCTTCTACAGGAAACAGTTGTTGAATGAATATATAAACATTAATCAAAGCAGGAACTGCAGTCTGCATTTTTTCACTTCTGTTTGAGGGCTCTGACCACAGGCCATAGGCATGCTGCGTCCAGCCTCTCTCATCCCTGAAATCTGTAATCGTTTCACATGAAGTGCCTCTCCACAGCCTGGAATGGGCTGTGCAGTGGTGAGGGTGCATGCCTGAAGAATGGGAAATGTGTTTTTTGAGATCAGTGAGTTGCCGGGATGCTCCTCAGCAGTGAAGTTCAGTGGCTGTGGGTGGGCTGTGAAGCAGGAATGGAAAAGGCCCAGCCAGCAGCTTTGTCGGAAGGGGAGACAGCAGCAGAGCTCGGGACTTCCCAGATGAGATGGAAATGACAGAGCAGATTTGGACTTAGGCTTCAAAAGTCAGAGCTAGGTGGGACTTGGGACTCTTTTTATGGATCTGGCCCCTGGTTACTAACTGGTGCTGCCTGTGAATTGTTCTTCCTGAAGCCTTTTGGGCTGCTGGCCTGATTTTGTAAAAAAGCAGCAGTTCAACTGCTGACGAGAGTACGGGGAGCTCACAATGCCCATAGGTCATTAATTCTTGAAGCTGAATTTACTGAAGAGATAATGGATGAAACCTGACTCTGCTAAGCTCTCTGCTCCTTTCTGGCAATGTTCAGTAGTTAATTTAAATCTCACTTAGGAACTACTTGTGGCATTAAAAGTCCTCCAGGCATACTCTGTTAAACTTTCTTTTTTAAATAGCCCTGTCCAGAATGCCATTAGGATGTCATATATCGCTTCTGAATTTCCTTTCTTTACTTTGATGATGGCACGGAAGTTGGTGGCAACAACTCAGCTGTATGCCAGTGAGTTGTTCCCTTCTGCAACATTCACTCACTGATGCCAAAAGTTAGCTTTTATGGTCTGTCCCTATGAAAGCTGTGTGGGTTCCCTTGACCCAGCACCATCACAGAATGAATTAGGTTGCAGACCCTTCTTCGGGTAAGTGAAAGTAACTTTTCCCTTTAAAATCCTGATGTTATAACATTTCTCTCACTTTTTCCTATTCTTCAGAACGTATCATGGCTAGAGGAGAAGGAGAAGGAGGTCGTCAGTGCCCTGCGCTACTTTAAGACGATTGTGGACAAAATGGCAATTGATAAGAAAGTATTAGAGATGCTGCCAGGCTCAGCAAGTAAAGTGCTGGAAGCCATCCTGCCCCTGGTGCAAACTGACCCACGCATCCAGCAAAGGTAGCTTTCCTTCTTGGGTTTTGGAGCTATGGCAGACCAGCAGGCTCCTCAGCTTCTTTCTTTTTTTGTGTATTATGTGACATATGAGTTGGAAAGCAGTATAGTAACAAATAGCTTGACTGCCATTTTTATTAAGTGGTGGATAATTTTCAAGCACAACTTAAAAACAAACTCCGTGCTGTGAAGAAGTCCATGCTATGGAAAGATAAAACAACTTAGAAAGGTTTTAGAGAGGAGGAAGGAGTGATGCTTAGCATAAACGTAAACATTGGGAATTTACTGATTCTCTTCAGATTCTCTACTATTTTTGAAGTCCACAATGGGATCCTAAAAGCTAACAAATTCCAGTAGTTTCTGCCTGAAAAGGAACTTGTCTTCAGGGTAATCTCTGCATTCAATTCATCCATACTGATAAAAGTCAGCCTGCACTGTTAGTTTGTTGTTAGTGTTTTATTTTATTTTACTGGAGCAGATACAGAACAGAAATAAACAAATATGTACTTCAGTAGATCAGCCAGTCCAAGTTCATTCCTGTGTGCTCTCCACAGACTGATGATAGGTTTGCTCTGATGCCTGCTGTATTACATTTAAACCAGTTAGACAACGATTTTGAAGTCAGAAAAGATGTAGAAATTGGCCAAAGCAAAGCTTGACAGCCATTGAGAGAATCTGTGGTGTCATCAAGCCACAGAGATCTGTCTGCCTGCTGATTATAGGTGATGGAGAAATTGATTTAAAAAAAAAAAAAAAAAAAAAAGCAAACAAATAGCATTGAACAATAAGAAATAAGCAAAACTACTACACATGTAAAATTAGGCAGAGAAATGCACATATATATTTTTATAATTGTTTTTGCTGAATCCTGCTGGTTTTTGCTCGGTTCCTGTTTTCCCAGTATCTCCCAAACTTTTGTTTTTGAGATGTTCAGTGCAATTGTGCTGCAAGAAAGGTTTATGGTATGGTCAAGACAGCTGTAGGGTGCCAATATTTTATTAACAGAGATGTTTAGTGCTGTCTGGTCCCAATACATAGGGCATGCTTTTATCTGATAGCACAAAAGGAAGGAGACAATGGGTAAGTACCAGAGCTGTGACTGAGACAGGGGGGCTGCAATTGAGGTTGGGTTTGTGGAAGTACAAAGAGCAATAGCTGTTAGAATTGGAGCATTCATCAGGCTTCTGGATTCAGGCACAAAAGTTTCTTCCGTTGCTATCAGGTTTCCTGCAGTCATTAAATTCCTGACAGGCACCTGCTTTCACTTAGTGAAAGAGAGAACAAACTTTCCTGTTACATCAGGAGAACATGTAAAATGTCAGCAAATATTTTTAGGATAGAAAATGTCATCTTTGTAGTCGCTTGCTTTGATTTGTGTATCCGCTGGGTGATCTTTCCTTCCAAGAATATATTGGAAATAAATATCAGCTAAGTGGTCTTCAGCAGCAGCAGTATTTCAGACGGCTCTATTCTTCAAATTCCTTGTACCTTTTCCCTTAGAAGTGAGGTAATATAACCTTGACAGCTGGATATCCACATTTAGCCTGTAAGCAGAATTTCTGTAGTCAGTAGTCAGTGGAGTCTTCCTTACTTAGTGATGAATCTCTCATTCTGGACTGCAGCACAGATCCCTTGTGTATGTTCTGCCTTGTTTGGCTTTGCAGAGAAAAAGGGGATTTGTCATCCTCTAAAAGCCACGTCCTTTCATGACTACATATGCACTTTATTTATTTTGAGTAGTGGCAGGACACAAAGGGGTGCTTTGGATGGTAAATCCCCCTCAAGAAAAGAGAGCAAGACTTGTGTCAGTGTGGAAGAAAGCCCTACAATTACTGCTGGGCTCCTTTTTGCTTTAGGGGGAGGGTTTGCATCGAGGAAAAAAGTAATTAAATCTAGCAAAAATAGGCTTTCAATTACTGCCTCCTTAGAAGGAAGCAGACCGAAGATTAATCACAAAGAAATCAAAGCCAGAGAAAGAGATGGAGGAGGACCCTATTTAGGAAATATCTCCTACTAAGTTAATTTCATTTAAAATTAGAACAAATGGCAAGCACTGTGCTTATAAAACAAACAAACGAAGAAGCCCTTGCTGCTGTCTGTATCCCTCTGGCTGTAAGCTGACAGTAGTTGTATCCCTGGTTCTGCAAACAGCTCTCACCTAAATAAGCTCCCTCAAGTTTGTGGGTTTGGTGCTCTTCTCACAGATAATGAAATGATTGGAGTTAAGCCAGTGTCAAATGGGTGCCAGAGAGAAATGGGAAGATTCAGAACGCTGTGATGATGGCAAGATTGCACCTTCTCTTATCTCTTTATGGTTTTGATGCAGTTTGAAATTGATTTAATTTTGCAAAGAATTGCCATCAGCAGCACTGTTAACACACCTTGTTTAGTAATGAAGTGTTTTCAGAGCGGCCAGGAAAGTGCCTGTGAGCACTGGTGTTACAGTTAACTTTTATTTAGAGTTGTCGTCCTTCCAAATTTCATTTCTTTTCCTTCAGAACAATAGCTTGGGTTCTGGTTCTCATTAAAAGCAAAACAAAACAACACCCTTCCTCTTCCAAACCTGAAATTCATTCAGCTCAGCTTTTGTAAAGAAGCAGGTTTTAATTGCTTGTTTTCAGGCACTGTAAGCAGTGGGAAAATTATTTCTAAAGGAATGATGCAGTCAGCTTGCAGTTATGTAAAGCGTTTTCTGAGGGGAGTTAAGAAGGAAATCATAGATAGCACTGAAATAATATCAATTAGGCATAAATGCAGGATATGGTAGTTACCTTTGAAGTTGAGGCATGGGATGGGGGTGTGGATTAAAAGGGAAAAAGCATTCTTTGTAGCACTGCTATGTTAGCTTGCAGCTCAGATTATTAGCTGGTTGTGCTTTCATGCTGTTGTTCCATTTGGCTCTAAAGAACAGGAGAGCAACTGCAACAGAGCTGGAAGCCCAGGCTTTGTCACCTGCTGAACACAAATCATGAATGTCAGAATGAAAAGGAGAATCATAACAGTGGATAGTGTAAAATACTTTTAAGTGAAATGCACTTCAGATCGTGCTCTCTCTAGTAGCATTTGATAATATCTCTGTAACTGATTATTTTTTTTTCCTTTTTTCTTGACTGTTTCCTTCCCTGCCATCCAGTTCTGCCATCTCATCCTGCTACAGCCGTGTGTACCAGAGCCTGGCCAACCTCATTCGCTGGTCTGATCAAGTGATGCTGGAAGGTGTGAATTCTGAAGACAAAGAGATGGTGACAACTGTTAAAGATGTCATAAAAGCTGTTCTGGATGGAGTTAAGGTATGTGAGGCAAGTTATAAAAAGCATACAGGTCTGTATTCTAGAAGAGATCTAGCTGAAAGTCAGAAGCTTTTGAGTGCTGGTAAGTCCTGCTCTTTCAGTAAGCTTGCCTCTTAAATCAGCTGCTCTGGAAGTGAAACGGTCCTGCTTGGTACTGCTTAAAGACCAACATTAATTGTTTGGCTATTAGTGTGCACTTCTAAATGTTCAGCCTGGCATTTGGATGGATTGCCCGAAGCAGTAAATCTTAATTGAGTATTGTATTAAATTTTCAGCAGGTAATTCCCATTCTCTTTGTCTCCTATGCAGATTACAGGTCTGAGTTCGCATGTTTTTCTGTCTAGACAAAAATTAATGGAAACTCTTCCTGTCAATTCCCATAGAGAATCAAAGATTCCAGCTTCATCTTTTAGCATGGATGCCCAAGTGTTTGTCAGTGATGCAGCACCACTTTCAGCAGTCAGGTTAGGGTGTGGGACAGCTGATGAGCTAAGCTCAGTTTTCTGAAGATTAATTTTTTTGTAACGAATGGGGAACATTGAATGGAAACCTTTGTGTCCTTTGTGAGACACACTTACACAATTCCCTCCCTGCACACCCAGGAAAAGCTGTTGGCTTTCCTTCTGTGTCCCAGTAAGTTTTTGGTACTTATTATTTGTGACCATTTTCCAGACTTGTCTCTCTGCTGAAGGCCGCAGAGGCCGTGCATTCAGCTTCCCAGTACTGGAGTTAAAAGTTTCCTTGATTTGGACAGAGAGATCTGTCACATCTCCTAGGAATCCTATTTTGAATACTGTAGAGAAGGTTGAGCGTCTTTAACAAGGGCTGAACTGGCAGAGCAGCGTTTAGTTCAAGTACTGCAGGAAATTTGGATTTTCAAGAGCTGGAGCAGGATCTTCAACTGGATGAATGTGTCAGGAAACAGCATCTTTGACTGTACACAAAGTCCATTTAGTTTTTATTATCTGGAATCGAATGTGAAAATCCAGTGAGTCTCCCAAGCTTTGACTATCATGCTTTCAGGAATCTTGATATGTTATTTTCGTGCTCTGAATATCCCTGTAATGTTGCTCAAGTACAGATACTAAACCCTAGTGTGACTTATCAATCCTTTAAAACAAATATCTTTGAAAGAAAACATTTCCATCACCTAAAGTGGACAGATTTTCTAGGATTATTTTGCACAGTGTGCCCTTTAACTTTAAGCTCTGGATTTGAGAAGCAAAGCGGGCATTAAGTTTGCACAGCAGGATGGAGAAGAGTTCAGCATTAAGTCTCAGCTTCTGTTGGTGCTGCAATTCAGCAGCCATTTGCAGCATATGAAAATCTGCACTCTTGACAGCTGAGCAGATGTAGCCTGATAAACAGTGTGAGAGTTCACCCTGTTATCACCTAATGAATCTGCAGTCCCGTGTTACCACTAGCTCCAGGTTACAGTTGCGTGAAATTTGGGACACCCACTGTCCTTTCACTTCAAGCAAGGTTTAAGCACCTGATAGCAGTTGCTTCCCAACCAAAGCAGTGTGCATGGGTGGATGGATGGATAAATGGATGGAAGGTCATGGATGTCTGCTGAGCCAGCCTAGGCTGGAAGCAGTGCTGGCATAGCCATGCAGTGCTAAGCCTGAGCTGTTAACCTCACTGAGCTGTATCAGTCTCCTCCTGCTGCTAGACTACAAGTTATTTTGGCCTTCCAGTTGGAGCTGGCTTATGTCTGGTCAGCTTGGAACACAGTGAGAGCAGATGTGAGGCAGTCTGGGTAGAAGTGAACGTCTGCCCACCAAGACTCAGTGTTTGGAAGTGCTTTGTGCTCATCTCCTACTGCATAGCAAGGAAGGTTTATTTTAGAAGGGCCAAGCGAGCCTTCAGGTCTGGAAGCAGAACTGAGAAGCTGGACACTTCTCTGCTGTGGAGAGCCTTTTTTGTTTTTCTGGCAGATCACACAAGATCCACTTCCACATTTCGGTGTTTACTTCCCCCTTTATTTTCAGAATTGAGCACAGATGACTTGCTTGTTCACTTGTGCTCTTTGCTGTTTTGATGACAGGTTTTAGTGCCTTGCAAGCTATATATAAGGGGGAAAAAAATCCTTGTTTTGATTACATAACTTCTTAAAAATCCATCTCATCTTGGAATTTCCAGTTTGCTGAAGTAGTATAAGTTTGTGGAGAGGCTTTAATTATCTCTAATTACTGCTGCAGGAATCTCTTTACTTGCTGATAAGGAACAGCATAATGTGCATCTGGCTCAGTTGCATGCTGATTACCTCTGTGTGTACATTGAAGATCTTGGCTTGATTTTCAAACACTAGTTCTCATTCTGGGGTTACTGGAGAGGAAAAAAAGCCAGGATTGAGGGAATCGAGTGCTTTTGTGCTTTTGCTAATCGAGGTACTTCTCAGCAGATGCCAGGTTTCTTGTCTGTCTGTCCCAGATAGGAACATCTTCATAGTGTTAGCCCAGATGGCCATCTGTATGTGCTGTGCTTGTGCACTCTTATTCTTCCCCATCAGTGGGCTTTTCAAGACAGTTTCTTTAAAGCTGAGCATTTTGTTGTGCGTTTGGTGGACTCTCTGCAAATTATTTTTGTGCCCAAATTCATACCAAGAACGTAAGTAATATATGGTGATATAATGGCCAAGTCAGAATCAGTTGTGATGTGCACTTGGACATGTTGAAATGGATTGCGGTTTCCATCCTTTACACATCCATGGTGCTACTTTATTCTCTTTGTGATTATTGTGTTAGAAGAGGAGATGACCGTTTCTGACCTCAGACATGAAGATGATACTGGAATGATGACACTATGTTACAAGCTGCTAATAAATAAAATTGATCCCATATAATTTCCTTTGCATGACACGCTGGGAAGCCAATAGTGTCAGGAAGCACTGCCAGTTATGCAGCCTAACTGTGAGAGCGCACGTGTTTGTGTCTGTGAGCAGCAGGTCTGTTTGTTGGCCTCAGTCACCCACGAAAAGTTCTCTCCATCTTTCTGGAATGAGTGCTTGTTGCTTTGGCTGCTGGCAGACTTGGAGTTCAGGATTATCATGCACTTATCTCTTTATCTACCGCCTTATCTGCCTCCAGCAGATATGCTGTAATAGTTCCCTGAATGATGAAGACTTTCTTTGCTAACAAGTTAAAAGATGGCTCCGGGGGGAGCAGGCCTTTTAATAAAGGTGTTCACTATTTAATTTCTTGTTGGATGTCTTTCAGAAACCAGCCTTTGAAACAAATACGTGACACGCACTTGTTCGTGAACTGTAAAGCAGTGATATAACTCTTTTACTGGCCAAGTGAAATACTTCATCCAAAAAGCATTTATTTACTTGTATTTATATATGTAAAGTCAACTTGATATTATCTAGGGCATTATGGGGACTGGAACATCTTTGTGATGAAAGAGGAAGCACAGCAAAAAGAAATGTATGTGGGTTTGTGCAGAATCCCCATAGGGCTGCAGTTTGTGAACTTACATATGGCTGAACTGCTGCTGGGTGCATGCTGCTCCCTTACCACCTCATTTGTGTGGCTCTCCACTGAGCTTACACCCAGCTCAGTTCACTGCCCATGTCAGCATTAACTCCTAAGTGGGTCCCCAAAAGTTTATTGCAGTAGAATCCTGTTCTGCTGTAGCATGTTTGAGTGCAACATTATGCATGTAATGATTCTTTTCTTTTTCCTTCTTTCCCCTCCATCCACCAGGAGCTGGTCAAACTCACGATTGAAAAGCAGGAGCACCCCTCTCCCACAAGCCCTGTTAAACCCAGCTTACCAGCATGTAAATCTGATAGGTGGGTCTCTTACAAACATTCTTGTGCGTGCCAGTCCAGTATAGTAGCTTGATGTGAGGTAATTTCTGGTTACTGACTGATAGTTGGATTAAAGTACTGAGTTGTTTTCCACAGCGGGCAGTGTTGTGTTCTTCATGTAGCCTTATGCATTACAGTGGCATTACTTCCAGAGAACTGTATGCAGTGATAGAGAAGATACCAAAATCTGGCAGTGAAACATCACTTGGCTGTGACATGTCCACATATTATTCTGTGTATGCTTCTAATTTTACTTGCAGATGTGAATTCTTCCTTCTGCTGTAGGTTTCTCTTATTGCATATGATGTAAAATATATATTAATCTGTCAGCGTGCTGCATTCTGACTGCATTTTGTGATCTGCAATCTGTCTTTTGCTTATTACAGCCCATCAGAACTTCCCCTTACAGACCGAGAAATGGAGATCCTGAGCAAAACAACTAATATGACTCAATCAAATGAGCTACTGACGGACTCCATGGACGAAGAGGTTGCACCTCCTAAACCCCCTCTGCCTTGCATTCGTGTGGCAGAAAACAGGTAATGCTGGCCAGCCAGCTGGCAGAAGAGTGGCAGTGGCTCTTAGCATCTGTTGGTTACACGTTCTTGTCAAAATGGGTACATGAGGTCACAGGGTTAGTGATGCTTCTGAATTTCCAGTCCTCCTGAGTAATTCTTCCCAGCTCCTGGAGTCTGTTTATGGCTTCGTGTTCTTTCTGTCTTGTTCTGAGCACTACCCTTCATTGTCTGTGTTTTCCTTTCCTGTTGTTTTTTTTTCCCCATGAGGATGGTACAGTGCCTGAGACTTTCCTATGAGAGGCACTGCATAAATGCATTAAAGCTTTTATTTAAGACTACATAAATACACACCATATTCTGTACAACTCTGCACAGCAGTATCCTGTGCTGTTTTAGTTGCTGTTGCTGTTTCCAAAGGAAAATGCTTTGTTAACCTCAGTTGGCAATTGTCAACCTGTTCTGCACATCCAGGTGGCTCTACATTGGTTGTCAAACTAAGAGTGAAAGGAGCTTCTACTGTGTGAAAAAACTCTTATTTAGTTGTACTTACCCAGCTCTGTGAGTAACCACATGAAAGTTTCTATGTTCTATTTTGGAAGGAAGAGAAAACCTCCAGTTTGCAGCTTTTTGGTGTGTGTATGGTGTTTTTCTCCTTTAGTACTGGTGTTAATAGATGGTGTGAAAATGCTTATCATGAGCTCATTTGGAAATGCAGCATCAGGGGGACTGTGGCTGGCAGAAAAACACCTCATTTCTGGGTATTTTATGAATTCTCATGGGTTATATATGTATAAAAAAATCCTGTTACGTTCCAGGAGCAGAATATGTGCGCTCTTGGGAACTTCACAAACTTGATGATTGCCAGAATTGTCAGTAGAAGCTAAACTTAAATACACAGTGGTTAAAATCTCAGTGGTTACTACCAATGGGTGTATGATAATGTATCTGCAACTGATGAATGCCACAGCGTGGGCCCATGCAGCATGTATGCGTGGTGACTCTGACAGTCTACTCGCTCCAAGGAAAAGGGCACAGAGGATTTTCCTGTCCTGTAGGTTGCTTCAGCTTTGAAACCCCTCTCAAAGCTAAAAGAGTTTGAAGAGGAGGAATGAGAAATTTCTGTGAACGGAAACCTTGTTCGGGTCAACCAAAACATTTAATTTGGACTGCCACCGCTTTTATGTAAGAATAATTGCTGTGCTAATTAGCTTCATTAAAAATAATTTTTAACACAGCAGTTATTTTTGTTTCTGAAATACTGAGTCTTCTCCAAGCTTAAAAAAATACATCACTGAACAGGACCTTTCCTGTGAGAGTGCTGTTAGCTCGGGGTTTGTTAGGATATACTCTTTGTTGAGTAGCTCTGGGTCAGCTTTGGATGTGAGCTTTTTGATCCTAGCAAGGCAGAGGCTATCTGAAGAACAAGCTCCTGAAGCCTCTGAAAGTCTTTTTGGTGGTGATGGAAGCATCAACACCTGTTGTGTCTTGCAGTCCTCCTCCAGCCTTGCCCCCTAAAAAACGACAGTCGGCGCCTTCCCCAACCAGAGTGGCAGTTGTGGCCCCCATGAGTCGAGCCACCAGTGGATCCAGTTTGCCTGTTGGAATCAACAGACAGGTAATGGCATAACCCCTTTGTGAAATCCAAAGGAAACGTCCTGCAGAAAAGCTCTGTGACCTGTGCAGTGCAGTTCCTGCTTGTCCCAGGCAGCCCTATCTGGAACAATGCTGGGATGGAATTCTAGCAGCAGGAACATCAATGTAGTGAATGATGTGAATAGTTGGGGTTTTTTTTTTCTTCATTTTGTTGTTGGATTTGAGTAATGAATGAACTGCTACCAAACTCTGATGCCTTGAGGTTGTACAGAATGTGAAAAGCTGAGGGGCTGAGTGTCTCAGCGTTGCATACAGCAGGGACTACAGTGGTTTGCTGTATTTACAAGATCCTACCAAGGTTTACTTGCAGGCCAGGGGTCATGCAGCAGGTTGACATTAGAAGCCTATATTTTTGCATTTCCAGTTTAACATGTCAATTAACTTAAGCAATAGTTTAAGCATCTGCTCTGACTGCTGCTGGTGCTTTGGGGAAATTTGTAAATTTTCTGGTAGAACTACAGAAAACTTGTGACAGCATGTATTAGTCATGCTCTATCACTTGTGCTAATGCAGAGTTTACAAGACTGTAAATAGTTCGTTTTGCTTCACACCTTCAGGAACTTACTGACTCAGCAGTGAGAACTTGAATTGTGCACCAAAATCAAATCTTGCTCTCAGTCCCCAGAGCTCTGACTTAGGAAGCCTCTGCTGTCAGTTGGCTGACCCAGATAAAGCTGTGGTGGTTTTGCAGTTACTGGTGCAATCTCATTTAGATTGATTTGCAGGGATGGGAATACCTGTGAGGTTCACTTGCAGCTTGATGAGCTTGAGGTAATTTCTGAAATTGAAACGTAGCCAATGGGCACCAAAAGCTGACGTCAGCTGTATCCCATTATCACCTGTTTACCCTTTGCATGCACAAAGCTAACCAAATATTTAATAAAGCCCCAATTATTTAACGAGAATTTTTGCCTTCTAGTTACCCAGTACAAATGTCAACAGCTGGTGACATCCACTGTGGATCACAGCATGCCCTGGCCTCCAGCAGGTGCATGCAGGGCTCCTTTTGGGGGCTGCTCTGCTCTGTGCCCTTTACCCAGTGGGAAGCTTTCTGGCTTCCTTGTGGGCTTGTCAACTAGGGCGGGCTAGCAGCACTCACCTGCTCCCTTCCTAGTTTTCTTACAGTAGCTGCAAGGTGTGTTCCTTCAGCTGTATCTTATTACTGGCAAGCTGCCGAGAATGATGGTAATTTGTTGTTTTGGTTGTTTGGGTTGGTTTTTTTTTTGCTTCAGGATTTTGATGTTGACTGCTATGCCCAGAGAAGGTTGTCAGGTGGCAGCCACTCCTACGGGGGAGAATCTCCTCGCCTCTCACCGTGCAGCAGCATTGGCAAACTCAGCAAGTCCGATGAGCAGCTCTCTTCTCTGGACCGTGACAGTGGTCAGTGCTCCCGCAACACAAGCTGTGAAACATTAGGTGAGCTGGGCCGGGCCAGGACTGCTGCAGGAGCCCTCATCACCCTCGTTTGGCAGCTGTCATAGCTGTGGTGCAGAAGTAAATGGATTGTGCTTGCAACTGTCATCTTGTAGTTACTGAAGGCAGTTCGATGCGAAACGATATCCTGTCAGATAGGAAAAAGCCCAGGGGAATATGTTTCCCTAGCTAGAGATGATTGTGTTCAAACTCAATTCAGCTCTCGAGTGGAATGTTTTGTTGGTTTCAGGCTTTTCTGCAGACATCAGTAGGAAACAGCAGGACTGTTAGGCTTAGGTGATGCTTCCAGGTACTAGAAAATAAAAATCTAAATGTGAAATGTTGCAGTTAAATACCCATTGAATTTTTATTTGTTTGCTAGTATAAAGGTATGAGTTTTAAGCATGGATTTTACAGAAAGTAGAGCAAGATAGTCCCTGCTGCAAGGAAGTGCCACTCTGATTACATGAACTGATTAGTTAACTGGGAGAATGAGATGGGCAGAACTGAGAAGGGCTGAACAGTAAAAGAGAGAAACTAATGGCTGACTCTTCTTTTCTCTCTTTTTATCCAGATCAATCAGATCACTATGACCCAGACTATGAATTCTTGCAGCAGGACCTCTCGAATGCTGATCAGATACCTCAACAGGTGCCAGGTATCCTCAGCCCCTTGCCAGAGTCCCTGGGTGAGTCTGGCTCCCCTTTCCATGGACATGCTTTCCAGCTCCCACAGGGCAGCTCTTCTCCACTGGAATTCTGCAGCCTCTCAGGAGCTGTGCAGCCAACAGAGACCCCTCCAGCTTTACCAGAAAAGAAGAGGAGAAGCGCAGCCTCTCAGACTTCAGACTCAGGCTGCAGGGTCTCATATGAGAGACATCCTTCCCAATATGATAACATCTCAGAGGATGATATGCAGAACGCAGGGTCTCTCTCATCAGTACCCTGCACGCCATTTGCTCCTATTTTGCCCTTCCAACAAGGAAACTCTTCAACACCAGTTGAGTTCATTGCTGATTTTGCTGCTCCAGATTCTAACAGTGACCCAGAGAAGCCACCACCCCTGCCGGAGAAGAAAAACAAACACAGTAAGCAAGATCTTATGTTTGGGGTTTGCTTTTACCTTTCTCTTTTCTTCCGTTTGCCATGCTTCTGATGACCACTAAGTTATGGTGACCCCAAGGTAATGCCTTTGAGCTAAGTATTGAAATTGCTCATGGTCGGTATCAGACGTGAAAGGAAAGTGCCAGTCCTTTGGTGGACAGAGAGCCTGGAATGGTGCAGGCCCTGGGGAGGTGGCAGCATTCAGCATCTAAATTACTGTAGTGAGAACATTTTATTTTTGTTTGCACAAGTGTGAAGCTTTGAGCCACACTTCCAAGTTTTACTGGATCGTTTTCCCTTTTTGTGTCCATTCTATCTCCCCCATGTTTATGAATGTTTGCCTAGAAGAAGAAAATGGGGTACTCTCCAAGAGCTCAGAGAAAAGGCTACTTTTCTGTCCAAAACTGAGGGTTGCCAGTGCAGTTATTTGACAGTAGGAACATAGTCCCTTGCGTAGCTGTGCAGGGCAGCACTATTAACCTTGTGTCCAATACTGTTTTGCTACAGGATCTCATTTCCTGAGTGCCTGAGAATTTCCCACATCATTAAGATGACCAGCCTCTAAATGCATAGACTCTTACATCCCCAGTCAGACTCCTGGCTCTCGTGACCTTATTTTGATTTCCTTAATGTTCATGGCTGAAATATGTGAAACCTCTTGCAAGAGGAGCAGACATACTGATCTATCAAGGAAAGCTGTGGACTACACAGTGGGATGTGTTACTTTACTAGTTGCTGGCTAGCTTTGCAGTTGCATGGGGAAGTAGTATATAAAAGGTCTGGGTGAGCAGCGTTAAGCTGTATGGCTTGCAGCTCAAGTGAAGAGCTGATTTGAAGGTTATGAGTTGACCTTCTGACTCATTGCCACAATTAATAGAGCTTTCACTGGGAAAAGGTGTGAGATCGGTGTCTTGTGCAGGGGGATCTGTGCTCTGTCCATGTCTTTGTAGTTTTCTATGCTAGACACTTCTTTTCTAAAGTGCATTGACGGAAATCATCTCCTCTATGCCTCAGTGATGCCTCCAAGTCTGTAACCCTCCAGGATTTTAATCAGATTGCCTGAAAGTGAAGGTCAGGTTATAGTAGTCTCATTCAGCATTCCCATACACTGAAAATCACTTGTTCCTCTCTGGTAAGCGAACATTAAAATATACTGAAAGCAACCAAAAAGGTGCTCAGATGCTGATTTGCAGACGGCAGAATGGAAATAAATGCTGGCATCTGCATTGGTTTGGTTTTTATGGCTCCTGCTGTTCAAAATACTGGGATTCAGTGTAAATTGCAAGGGAATGAGATACAGCAAGGAGTTTCTGTAGGGTCAGGCCCCTGTGAGCTCTGCATCTGAATGATGAGGACTGGATACAGGTGATGTTAAGCCCTGCAGTCTGGAGTGGGTGTGAGGAAATGAACTTGTGTACTTGCAAACAGCTTTAGTGGGAGTGGTGCTGGGATAGGCCCTGGGTAGGAGACAGTGTGATGGCTGAAGGAAAGACCTAGGATATTTACTTCTCTCTTTAAACCCCATCTCTTTGTTTTCTCTTGCTATATGAGATGTCAAGCCATTACTTAAAAAGTTTTAGATGCCATCTTCTCTTTTGTTGTCCATGCACACTTCTAACCCAATTGGCAAAGCCTTGTAGTGAGCTTTCTTTGATGTTAGAATAGAGTTAACTGTCATCTGGCCCTATCAGAAGATGTCAGAGGATTGATCAGATTGCATTGTTAGGAATGGGAGAACGTGTTACCTGATGTGTTGACGGCTCCATGGGTTTGATTAAACATCCTTGCAGCAAAGCCTGCAGTAGAGTACTTGGGCTCATACCTGGCTGCTGCAAATTTGTAATGGCTTTTTTCTGACACTAAGAATTTGTTTCATACGCTTTACTCCACAGCGTATCGCACCAGAGATCTGTGGTTGTTAGTTTTCCTTTTGTTTTCAACACAAAAAGGGCAGTGAAACACCGTGTGGTAGTACCCAGGAATTTTTGGCCCAGGGACTGACACGTGTAGACCCTCATGTGTAACCTGTAGATGAGACAGAGCTGCTTCCACAGCCCCAGCACACTTCTGAGACCCTGAAGAGATGCATGAATGTATTAGAAAGATCCAGAGCTGTTGCAGAGATGACTTGGTTGTAGTGCCTTTGTTGTGGGTCATCTTTTGGTAGCTGTCAGGAAATGTTGCAGCTGATACTTTGGTCTTTCATAAATAATATATAGTGAATCCTCCTTGAGTTAACCGTGTGTTTTGCTCTGATCTGTGCTCAGAGGGACCTCCAAGAGTTGGCGTCTCTATAATTTAAACAGGGGAGTGATAAACCTTTTAAATGGGCGTGAGTTACTGTTGTTCTACTATGCTAAGGGCAAATTACTCCAGACATCTGCTTGAGCACGAGCATCGTACTCCTGCTGTACAAGACATGGGCAGGGATCAGCTTCTGCCATGAAGAGCCTGAAGTCAGAAATAGCAAGATCCTGCCCCCAACCAGCTCGCAGACCGTGGTGAGGCACTTACTTACGTTTCCTTCCCTGTCAGTGGGAACAAAATGCAGCCTGGTGCCCTGTAAGCAGCCAGTATTCAACTGCAGGAACCACGCTGAGGGCAGTCGGGGCTTAGCCAGCATATAATGGGAGCTCTTTGAAAAACAGCTCTCCTCCCAGAGGTGACAGCAAAGACTGGCTTGTTCGACCTTGACTTCTCCAGTGAGTTGATGTGTGGTGCAGCTTGAGAATTTCCATTACTTTGGCTCTTGTCTGTGCGCATGAATCCAGCACTGTTGTGTGGGGCTGGCTGTAACGCAGGCAGCACCAGGAGTTTGGCTCAGACCTGCGATGGCTTTTCTTCATCAGAGACTACTGTGCCTTACTGGTATTGCAGATATACCTTGTTGATAACGTTCCAAGAATCCCTCGCAGACCCCAGGAACCGCTGGTCTGAGGCTGCAGGGCTCCCACAGCACTGCTGGGTGACTCCTGCTGCAGCGTGAGCAGCACCTGCGATTTTCATCACGTGGGCAGAGCTGATGTGTGCTAGAAATCCCTGAGCAGCTTCAGCTCCTTCAGAAATGACAGCCACAGCGCTGCGAGCAGATTGCAGGGAAGGTGTTCCTTGCCGCAGGCAGAGATTTTTTTATTTATTTTTTATTCTTTTCACTCCCTCCTTTCAAGTACTTTCTGCCTTGGTTCAGAGCTGACCTAAGCTGCACATGGTGCCGTGGTGGGAGAGGTTCTGTCTCACTCCTCCCTTCTCTCCCGAGGTGCTGTTTAGACACTGTCACCCCACCCCGGCTGCTCACGGTGGAGGCTGCAGCCCCCATCCCTCCCTCTTTGCAGAATTGCTGCAGGGCATGCAGCCTGATCTGAGCTGGTGATGTAATTTCCCATCTGCTTTTTAAATTTCTGCCTCATCTGAAACCACAGCAGGGAGTGGGGGGGGAGAGGAGAGCCTTCGCAAACAGCCATCTCAGGAGTGGTCCTGCTGCCTTCCTCTCCTGCTGAAGATTGGCAGCATTTTATTGGTGCCTATTTAATTTGTGCTCTGCAATCTCTGCTGCTGAGCCAGGTTGGTATTTCACCATCCCAGCTGGTTTTTGCTTCACCTAAAAACAGGTGAAGACAGAGTAGAGGCAGAGACACACTTTGCAGCCCTGGACTGGTTGTAACAAGCGAGGCACAGGAGCTGCCATGCAGCGGGATGCATTAGCCTCATAAAGTGCAGAGATAAAAGAGCTCTTCATTATTCCCTTCCAGATTGAGTTAAGGCTCTCAACAGCATTCAGGCTCACTACCTTGAGTTGCAGTAATTCAGTTTTACACAGACATCTAATGTGCTGTGCTTTTCACCAACACTTCCTGAGTCTGTAGTGCCAAACAAACTTCTGAATCCAGCAACTCCCAGCTATTGATCCTGAGATGTCTTCGGATCTGAGCAGTAAGTGCAGCACAGATTTTGTAGATAACTGTGCATGAAGGCTTGGTCTGTATCTAGCAGTGTCAGCTGTGTTATAGCAGCACTGCCAAGCCAGAATTCTTGGCTTTTGTCCTAATAAGTTGATGAGCTCTAAAAATGTGATCTTTTCCCTCGAGCTCTTGTCCTCCATGCTTCTCCAAGGACCTGTATCCTTAGTTCACTTTTGCCACTAGGGAAATATATTTCCTAAGATGTGTGCAGAACTTATCCTGCAAAGCAGCTGTGTGATACTAAGACATTTTTCAGGGCACAAGTATTAATGGGAATACTGGAGTTAACTGCAGATGCTTTAGTGTTTTAGTAATTCTGTATTATCTGCACCAACACACCTTCAGAAAAGAAAGGAGAATATTGGCAAAGCATGCATCTTTTCACTGCTAGGTCTTAGAATTCATGTGATGCTGTGTGGAAGTGGAGTAAGCTTGGACTTGGCTTATATGTAAGTGGTCATACAAGCAAGAGAGCAGACATCAGCACACACTGAGATGTGTGCGTGCAGTTGGAGTTCTGCCTTCAAAAAGGAAGGGGTTGAGCACCAGGGATGGTGCCTGACATCTCTGTGTGGTGCTGGGGAGCCTGGGGGAGACTGGGGGAGGAAAAGGAGCTGGGCTGGTGTAGCTGAAGGTCAGGAGTGCAGCAGCTTTGGCAGAGCTCTGCATTGCTGTGGGACATGGGCAGCTTGTCCTCTGGCAGCACGGTGTGGGGTCATGGGATGGGGACAGCAGGTGTTACCGCTCGGGATCGAAATGTACCAGCTGGGGTTTCCTGAGCTTTTTTCCTTTTTTTATTTGGTTTTCTGGAGGAGGGATGTCATTGGGTGGGAAGGGGCAGCTGCTTTAGCTCCGTTTCTAAGCAAAGTTTAAAGCACTAAAGGAAATGTGTAAAAAGGTGCACATGGCAGGTGCAGAGCGGGTCCTTCCTGCCGGCACGCTGCACGGCTGCATCCTGTTTGCAGTAGGCTGGCCTGCCTGGCAGGTGAACAGAGGGTTTTGCCTTGGAGCTAGTGTGGGAACCAGCTTCACAATGCCCAGATACTGCGCTGTGATGGCTGTATTTACAGCTCTCACTGAAATCATCCATTCATGTCGGCTGTGCAACTGAAATGCTAGCAGGAGCTGAATAATTGCTGCCTAATGACCAGAGTTACAAAGCCTGACAACTGCGTGCTTATCAGGAGGAGGGGATGGATGATCAGAGTAATTTGTATGTGACAGCGTATTTGCAAGTCCCTGGTTAGTTCTATTTATGACATTGAATTACAATTATTGTTCCAGTTCTCAGATCCATAGATGAAAGTTATGTATTTTTCATCTAAATACATTTCTGTCCCTTAATAATTCTGGGGTTTTGTAGTAATCTTTCCATGATGCTGGATCTCCTTCTCCTTCCACACTAAAATGTTAAGCTAATCTTTTGTCAGATCTTCATAGACAGACCTGTATGGGACTTTTTCAAAGATTTTTGGAGGATATTGTACAGATGCTAAGGTCCATGAAATAAGGCTTCATCCCATTTAATAGTTTTATCAAACCGAATCTCAGAAATGCTTTTGAACCAGCTGCATTCATTTGCAAATTTAAAGATGCTAAGATGCCTTGGAAAGGGAGAGAGCTGAGGATGTTGGAATTGAGCTGAGGAAGAAAGAAGTCGTGGTCAATGACTTTTCTAAGAAATCAGTCTGTTGTGCCAGCAGTGGCATAGAAGTAGCGGAGAGAGGTGTGCCCAGTGCTGCAGGTAGGTGTTCTCCAATGAATTTCATCAGCTTGCTAGGATGGAGAAAGCACAATCTCTAGAGTGAGAGAGCTTGCAGTTTGCCTATAGATGGGACACTTATTATAGGCACAGGAGTTACTTGCTGTTGAGGTTGCATTGTTGTGCAAGACGATTTGTACCTCCTACAAAGCAGACTGCAGTCATTCTTTCTTTTGGTGAGTGTGAGCATTAGCTGCTGAGAAGTGTTCTCTGGATTGCCATGGGCTACATGAGGGAGGGCTTGGACCAAGAACAGGTGAATCATACTCCTTGGTCACTCTTAGGAGACCTCACTGGGTTAAGCAAATCTGTTGCCAGACGTGTTTGTGCACTGTGACAGCTTCCGTTGTGCACTGGCTTGCAGAACAAGACATTCACAAATTCATTTCTGTGAGGTGAACAGCAGCTTGCTGCGTGAGTTACTGCAGATACCTTGCTGCTCCTGGATGAGAGCAGCTGAGAGCAGCATGGTCTTACTCCTCTTTTATTTTCAGGGCAGGCACTCCGCCTGCTCGTGGCAGGATAGCTGCAGCACACGGGCCAGGAGCACTGACGGTGACTTTTTGTGTTGCAGTGATGGCATACATGCAGTTTGTAGAGGACTACTCAGAGCCACAGCCATCCATGTTCTACCAGACCCCACAGAACGAGCACATCTACCAGCAGAAGAACAAGCACCTCATGGAGGTCTATGGCTTCAACGACTCCTTTATCAGCTTAGACCCTTCTCAAGATCTGGCACCCCCTCCTGCTCTCCCTCCGAAGCAGCGGCAGCTGGTGAGTGACACCACAGTGCCCTTCCCAGCCCCTCCTGGAGCAGCTCTGTGTTTGCTGCTCCTGTTTCTGACAGGCTGTGGTTGTGGGAGGGGGTCTCACTGATGTTCACGTTGTATTCCTTGCCATCTCATTAAGTGTTTTCAGGCATTTTGCATCGTCTACTTTGAGTTCTTCTGTTCTTTTCTAACCCTACATTCAGACTCTTCCCCTGAAAATGAGATTTCATCTTCCACATGGCATAGCTGAATCTGTGCCAGACTAGAGACACATGTAATGTCTGTTACTTTGAAGATTTTGACACACTGGGCAGCATGATTTTGAAGAAGTTGCTGCACTGTTGTTCCCAATGTTGTTTTGCAACTGTTGTCAAGGATGCCACTGATAATAACCATTCAAACATAATCACTGCTTTTGTGGCTCCGTCTTTGCCAAAGCCACAGAATTTTGGTACAGCTATTATTTAACTCTTGCATGTTTTCCCTACATTAGTCCACGTGTGTGATTCAGGAGTTTACCTGTTTTTCACTGCTACCTGACTTAGATTGGCCGTGGCTGTAACAAATCAGGATGAAATACAGGAGCAGGGCCATGCTCTTGCTGTTACGATGGCAACTGTCGCAATGCATCCTCGTGTTATCTGTGCTAAAATTTGACTGCCCCAGGGTTACTTTTTAATCAAATCAGAGAAGCTACACAGAGGTCTAATTTGGGAATTCAGTAACTACATTCCTGTGGCTCAGATAGGTGTCCTGACAAGATAAAGTAACTGGTGAAGTAAACTGGAGTAAACTGAGTATTATGCAGTTTGTCAATGGAAGCAAAGCATTTCTTTGCTGCCCTTTAATCATTATCTGGGCAGCCAAGATGTCACCATTCTGCCTGTCAGGCATCCTTCTAGTTTTGCAAGCTGATGCTATCAAGGTGTTGCTTGCAGTTCCCCTGAAGCAGAGGTTTCTTAAAATGCAGCCTTGTGCCTCTGCCTTCATCTCCAGTTGGGAAGGTGATGCAAGCAGAGAATGGCTCATTCAGCAATCACTGGAAAAGCCATCAGGTCCTATTGTTCCTCAGCTCCCAGTGCCCTGAGAGATTCTGAAGCAGCAAATCATGGGGACATCAGCTGCTCCAGCAGCGAGGAAGTCTGCTGGATGGACTCCTCTAAAATAATAATTAGGAAGTCCGTTCTTGCAAGCTTCATAGCTTGTATGTGAAATGTTTGTATGTTACATTCTACAGGTCAGAGCTGAGAAAGCCTAGATACAGCTTGGCCTCCCTTGGGCCCTTACTGTAGTGGAATTCAGGAGAAATTCCTGATAGTATTTGTTATTTGCAGACTAATATCTCTCTCCTGTGCAAACGATCTGTCATTTAGAATTGGACTGAAAATTTGCTGGGTGTCCTGTTAAGCAATATCTCAGCAGCACCTGTGAAGCCCTACAGGCCACACTATACAGTCTCAAGTTTCCAATCTGCAGATGGGCCAAAAAAACAAGACCACAAAAAACTGCTAATCTGCAGGAGTCAGCTGCTGCCCAGCTGAGAGGGGCAGCTCCTTGCTGGGCAGCTGCTCCTGCCCATACCTGCTCCTGTGGGCTTCTGCCCCTGGTGCCGTGGAGAAGAAGGGCAGTGAGGAGCAGCATGCTTCCCCCTGGCACAGCTGTCTTGGGCTGTTTATTTTTAAGGGATTTGTGAAACAAAGAAGATTTGAGCTGTGATTTTTGACACACCCCTTGAGCTCAGGAAAGGCACGTTGGTGTGTCTGGCTCTGATGAACTGTATGAATAGCTGTTTGCTTAACAAGTCATTATATGCGTTGTTTTACAGTTAGCATTTCTTACCCTTTATTCATAGCCTTTTCTGTGCTTTCTTTCTTTGTTTCTCCTGTCTCTTGCTTTCTCCCCCTCTGTTCAGCAGGCCTCCTATGCTGCCTCTTCTTTCCCTTCTGTCTCCTACTGTGTCCAGCAAACTAAAGTGCCCTTCACCCCCGAGGACACCGGTGCCGCTCAGGGCCTCACTATGTCAGTCTCTAACTCCTTTCTCAACCGGCACAGCTCCTTTCCTGTGCATTCGGTGAGTTGCTCTCCGTGCTTCTGTAACCTGTGTGTGTGTTTGTGCTGGTGATGAAATGCTCATCTGCAAGCCCTGTGCTAATGCTGCCAGTTCTGGGTGAGGTTCTACGGTGGGGGAGGGAGGGTTGAACTCGATTGTTGTAAGGCAGGTGATGAAAGCAGGGTGCAAATCTTGCTAGCTGAAATACAGGGAAAATGTGGTTTTTGTGTCTGTGTTGGGGCTGGGAGGAGATCTGGCCTGGGTGCTCAGGCACTCTGCTTTGACCTGCTCACCCCCAGGCTGCCGGTGGCACTGCACAGCCTTTTTGTTCTGCTGCATAACGCCAGCCATGCGAATGCGCCTATTAAGTACTGCTGTGTGAGCCTGGCCTTCGGAGGAATAACGAGATGCCATCCTTGAAATAGATGGGTTTAGCCAAATGCATGGAACAGTGGATATGGCTCCTTAATTTTTTTTTCCTAGAAAATGGCCTCTGACACATCATTCATGTCATGTTTGCTTGTCTGCATCTCTTTGCATCTCCGTGGTCCCAAACAAGCTCAGATCTCTGAGTTGCACTGATGAGCAGTCAGAACCACAGGAGGAGCTGAAAATTATGTAAATTGAAATAAGAATAATCTTACAGCACTGCCTAAATGTATGATCAGCTGCTTAAATTAAATGGTAGCAACAACAGAGTGTTAATGTAATGAAATTAAATCTAACCATGGAATTCCAGTGGCTCAACAGTGTGGGAAGTGTTTGCATGTAGAACTGTCTGGTTGTGTTCTGATTGCCTGCATGATGATAGCTGAGAACAGACTTTTTTAACAGCAACGTGGATGTTTTGTAAATTACACTGATTTTGGAGATGTTATCAGGCAAGAGCAGGGAAAACTCAGAAGTGCTGTAGTTTAATACTGAATATTTGAAAACTATCCTCCCACTCCGTCACTGCGTTTCAACATTTACTCATTCTCTAAAAATGACAGTGAAGCTGTGTGCCGGGCCTGAAGAAGGAAGTATTCAGGGACGAGTATGTTAATGCACATGCAGTGAATGAAAGCTGCTGGCTTCCTTTGGTGTGAGGGAGAGCAGTGTGGCATAACCTTGGGAGCAGGGAAGCTGAGGTGTTGGGAAGGTGAAGGTTGGTGCTTGCATAAGTGTGTGGAAAAAACAGTTTTAAGGTTTGAACTAAGGCAAAAGTTCTTAACTGTACAGGTCTCCGTTACACAGAACTGTAATCCAGATAAAAGTGTGTCACTGGTTTTGTTTTAATTGAGAGGCTATAAATATGATACTGTAACGTTCTAAAAATACCTGGGCACTTCCACTTCTAGAAGTGTCCTGATTTAAGTGGTCACTGCATACTTAACCATTCTGAACTGTTCTGATCTTGATTCAGACTACGTTATTCTGAATATATTATTTGATGAAATGCTAAAATCACGTTAGAAAATCCTTACTTCTGCAGGGATTTGGTGAAGGCGAGATGAATGGTTGAAGTATGAGTTGGGCAGTGCTCTGTCAGGTGCACAAAGAAAGTAAACTGAATTAAAAATGATGACTTAATTAATTAATGCCTTCAAATAATGGTAATCTCGTGGTCATGACAGGCAGAAATGCTGTTTTCACTTGACAGCATCTCTTTGTCTCTGAGCTGCAAAATACCAATGTCCTTACATATTTCATAGCTGACCCATATAATACTATCACCGTGGTTTATCCCGTTTTCCCCATCCCTAATGAGACAGCAGTGTGAAACAGCTGTTAAGGCTTGGATCCCTCCCAGGGTGACACCCTGCGTTCTGCACTCAGCCGACCAGAACCCTTCCTGCATTCTGCTCCTGGGCATTGCCTGTAATGATTGTTTCATGCAAAGGCTGCTGTGATCTGCACTGCACTCCTGTCATTCTCATGTCTTCATTTTCCCCACTGTCGAGTGAGTGCTGATGGTGAGCAGTAGATATGGTAGGAGCTGAGCATCAGCTATCCACTGCTCCCAGCAGTGGGGGTGGTGCCAGAGCACGCCTTTCCCTAACAGCCAGCTCAGGAGCTGCCTTCCTGCATACCCAGATCATCAGTGGAGATGGACAGCAGGGGCAGCCCACTAGCTCTGTGTCAGTCTGTTCATGTGAAGGCAGCAGGAAGGCCTGAGCCTATGGCAGGGTTTGCATGTTAGCCCCCTGTGCCTGTGCACAAAGGGCTAGCTCCTTTCTGTTGCTTCACAGGGCTTAAAACCATCGTTTTCAGACAGGGTTCTTTACTTTTAATTTGTAATTTATGAATTTATTTTCCAGAATCCTGACTTGTTTTTCTTTCCCATCAGAGCTGCAGCACTGCTGCAGTCCAGGAGCCACCACTGTTCTGTCTGCCCACTGATCATTCTTTTCCCTTCGTTGTAGGAAATTGTCTCACAGGTAATAGCTTGTATTGGATTGAGGCAGGTCCTGAGCGACTGGATCAGACCCTGTCGGTTTGCCAGGTTGGGTCCGGCATTCATCAGCTCTGATTCACATCTGGCTTCTGTGGCAGCAAGGCTCACATTCATAGCATGGGCTGTAAGGACGTCCAGCATTGTCTTCCCCACTGTCACACCATCAAATCTTGCATTGCTGGAACAACTGGGTTGTATCAGGAGCATTGTAGGGATTTCCACCTTCCCACCTCTTCTGAAAGCAACTCTATTTTGTTGGACAGTGGGGAAAGAGGTGCAGTAGGGAAGCATCCACCTTGGTAACTGTCTGCAGTAGTTTCTCTACAGCAGATCACCTCCCTCCCTTCTCAGCTCCTTGTGCTGTTGACTGGAGGTGGCTGGGCAGATGTCCCAGAGGCAGGAATCAAATCTCCTGGCTTCCTGGCAGCAGGGAACTGCACTGACAGAAAAAATCAGTCAGGAACTGAGATACGTTGCTATCTCTCCACGTTTTCCACCAAAGACTGCAGAAAGGCTTTCATTCACTTACAGCAAGGAAGTTTTCTTTGCTGAAACAAGGGGTGTACTTGTTCATCTGAAGCATGAAACCACCACCAGTGGAAAACTGGCTGTATTTCCACTGTGGAGAAACATCTTACCTTTCTCAAAATGCTGTTTTGTCTTTTGTTTTCCTTTACATTAAGGACCATTTCCAGTAAACTTCTGGGGAGCCGAATTGGCCACCCAGTTCCAACAGAAGGTGCAAGTGATTTCCTTATGAAAACTCTTAATTCAACACTTCTGCTTTCACTTGTTCAGGCATATCTTCAGCAGATTGAGAAAATGCACAGAAAATTCACAGCAACTGCTTTTGTTTCTTGTGTGTGCATTAAAGCCTGCTCAAGAAGAGGCGGGTCAGATAAGTGCTTAAAGATGCTCGCCATTCAGACATGTGCTCTGCATGTTTTCCCTGCCTTGCTTCTGTTTGTAGCTCCGTTCCATTTGCTGCCCAGACTGCAGCTCCAGTCTTCACCAGGGGCTGAGTTATTTTGGCTCATTTATTGGTTTGATGGTGGGAGCCATTAAGAAATCAGGACCATGAGAACACAGTGTGTTGATTCCTTTCTGTCCCAAGCAGGATTTGGCTCCTTAGTTTGGAGTAAAGAGAAGGAGAAAACAAGCTTTGCATCCATGTAACCAGCTCTTGAGCGTTAAGCATTGTTTTGCCTTTCCTGTTTCGTTTTCCTCCTGCATTTCTGTTTGTTCCCACTGCAGGTTGATATGGGATCATAGTGCTGTTGTGTGCTGACATCACCTAATCCTGCTTGTGAAAGTCACTTCCCCCTGTGGTTTATGTTTATTTTACACTTCCTGTCCCTGTGGAGGCCTGTGGAAGCAGTCCCCTGGGGGGACTAGGCCATATATCACAATTTCTGTATGGCTTTTTAGGAGCCTTGCCTTCATCTCCATGCTCTGCCTTTGCAAGATCTGACTGCTAGATACGGTGGTATTGCTTACAAGGTAGACAGGAGCTGAAGCTGTAGTTGTGATCAGATTGAGTTCTGATAGTTTCAGGAGAGATGCACGATAGCACGATCAGCAAGTTTTGCCAATGTTTTCATTCCCTCCACCCATTTTCACTGCATTCCAGTTAATTAGAAATTTGGATTTTGTATTTTCTCATACAGAAGCCAGGAGAGCCTTTCCCAAGGGAACAGAAAACCTCATCCATCCATCTGCTGTGCTGACCATTCTTTAAAAATAGCAAGATCAGCCGTGTGACCAGGTCAGAGGCTGTGCTGAGAAGCATTCAAGCAGGAGGAGTTGCTGCCTTTCCTGTGGCAGCGCTTGAAGCCGTTCTTTTGGCAGCTTGTGTTTCCACCCATTCATTGTAGGAGCACTTCCTTCCTCATTAGCAAAAGTACCTGGAAGCCCAGAATTGTGTCATGAGATAGGAAGTGTTTTCCAATGGTTGTCTGTGTAATTATATTCTTAGGGTGTAGCTTTATACAGTGCCCAGTATTTGTGCACATAGTTCTCTCCTGTTAGAATTTGGGCACTCAGTTCTGGCGCGCTGCCCACGTCTCTCTCTTAATAGCATTAGCAGAGGAAACCTAAAAGGTTGATCCTTTCCTCTGATAGCTTCTTGTTTTGGGAGTCGGATGCTCTATCTGATCTGGGAGTGTCTGGCAGGATCGCAGTTAATTTGGCAAGAGTCAGTAGGGTGACAGAGAAGGCTCTGCTTAAAAGGTAAGAACTGTGGCTGCTGATGCTTCAGATGCTCTGACAACCGTTTGATTGAGTTCAGCTCTGAATGTAGGATGCACATTGCTGTTACAATCAGCAGCTGCCTATGAACACCCTTTCTCCCTGAACCCAGGGCCGAGTGGATGTTAAGTAAGGTTTCTGTTAGAGTGTTTATCTCCTGCCATCTAACCCAAATAAACGTTCCTAACGTCATTGACCTTTGGGGCATCCTGTAACGCCCCTCTTAATGATGGAAGGCTGTTCTGAAACAAACAATCAAAGGCAGCAAATTGAAGATGTTGAAAGATGCCATCTCTGGAAGGGCTGTGTGTGCCATGCTGCTTTCAGTGCATGTAAACTGTCAGGTCTGGACAGGCTGCCTTCCTGCTGCTCCCAGGAGATTGCTCTGAACTCAGAGCGCTCCTTGTGGAAATGCTTCCCAAGTGATGGAGCTTTATCTAAATCTGCTTCAGTGGGGAGAGGGGAGGGATCTCTCCCTGCTCTCTCTTCTTCCCTGTGCTGGCCATTTGCTGTCGCAGGTCAGAATCCCTCATGATGGGAGACTTAACAGCAGTTGGAAAGAGGAAAATGTCTTTTCTCAAGGGATCTGGTTGCTTTCTAGCTTCTCAAAGATTATTTTGAAGTTCTTCGCTGAAAGCAAAGTCATGGAGTTGGAGGTCGTGCAGCCATAGCTGAGGCCTTGCTGACCCTGCAAAAAAAACAGAGAAAAAACAAGCACTGATTTGCTTCTAAGATAAACTGTTGCCTCTGATTTTGTGGAGGGCAGAGGACTGGTTTCATTCCAACAGTTGTCTTGAATGGACTCTCCCCTCCCAAAATAAGCCTGGCTTTTATGGGATGATAGGGCTTCTCAGGGCGGTGCACCTCCCAGGCCCCATGGCAGCAATTCCTGCTGCAGCTGCTGGCTGGGCTGGGCTGGGTGGGCACAGCAGGAATGGTGCCATATGGACCTCATCTCCACCGCAGGGTGTTTTTCCACTTTCAAAGTATGCTGCATTCTTGGCTCTTGTCCCAGCATGGCTGCATAGCTGGAATTCCTGGGCTGCTTGAGCAGGAGGAAGGAGGGGTCTTCCTGGCTGCTTTCTGCGAGATGCAAACAGTACTGGGAGACTGGAAGTTGAGAACAGCTTGGCTAATCAATGCCAGCACACCAAAGGCTTTTCTGTGCTGTTCCCTTCGTTTAGCAGCAAGCTGAGAGCATGCCTGCATCATTTAATGATTGTTTGTGGGTCACACTGGGTCTCATCGCTGGGGCAGCAGATTGCTGAGCAAGTTCTCAAGAGCCATTGCAGTGTGTTGGTGGGAGATGCATGTGCTCCATCCACTTTGCTCCTGTTCTTTTTCTGAGGGGTGAGCCTGGGACTTGGGGCATTAGTTGGCATGTTAGCGCCAGTGAGATCATGAAATACCAGGGAGACAGGGCAGGCATAATGAATCTGCTGAGCCAAGATGATGTCATGAGCCCAGAGTCTTACGAGGGATTTAGTGTTTTGTGCCATGCAAGTGAAAATGAATAAATGTAGAGCATTTATCCAGGCAGAAAGTAAATACAGAGATTAGACTTGTCATTGTTACTGAGGCAGCTCCAAAAGCAGACGGTGTCCCTGGAGCCAGGGCTACTCAGCCATGAAGAAATGGGCAGGAAGAGAGAGGAGCCTGCCCTAGCACCCGTCTCCTTTTAGCCACAGGCATGCGGTAGGGATTTGCATTTTGATTATTCTTCAGTAGTCTTTTAAGCTCTCTTTCCAAAGCATCTCCCTCTGCTCCTCTGTATTATGGCCGTGAGTTGCATTGGGTGCACAGGGAGCGCTGCCAGAGCTGCAGCACGACGGAGGGGAGCTGGAGGATTGAGCTGGTAGAAGGTAAAGTCTGGCCTCTGACCTTTGTTTCCTTTCCTGCTTGTAGTGGAGAAACTTCTGTTCACAGGCTAGGAGCCTGAGGCGATTCTCAGTTCAGATTTTTAAGCTTATATATTGTAAAGAAGGGAGAAAAATACCACCGCCAAGCTGGGTGTTGCTGCAAGGTGCAGGTGATGGACCGAGCTTTGGTTCTTATCAATTTAATTCATTTCTCCTGAATTTTCCAATTCATGCTTTTGTTTCCCTTTCTTCCTTTACTCTGTCACTTTTCAGCAAGCTGAGCTGCTTGGGAGCTGTATAGTGCAAGAGGTTATTGACTCAGAGGGTGGTGAGGCACTGGAACAGGCTGCCCAAGGAGGCTGAGGATGCCCCATCCCTGCAGGCATTCAAGGCCAGGCTGGATGTGGCTCTGGGCAGCCTGGGCTGCTGGTTGGTGACCTGCACACAGCAGGGGGGTTGAAACTGGATGAGCATTGTGGTCCTTTTCAACTCAGGCCATTCTGTGATTCCCTGATTCTGTGATATTGCTCCAAGCAACCACCACAGCTCCACAGCTGTATTTCAGCCTGGGTTTGGGATGACACGGTTATTCCTTCCTTCAGTCCACAGGGCTACAATTCAGATCTCACTAGTGACCGAGCTCTACAAGCTGTAAGATAAACTCCCCTCCAGCAGGTTTAGCATTGTTGTCTTTTCATTATTTATTTTTCTGGTGGGTGTCAGCTGTGTTCTGTTCTTGTTTTGTTGTCACCCTGATGGCACATCTTACTAGCACCAGATGTTAAAAGGCAGAGGATTGCTCATGTTTTTCTTGGCAGCATACTCCCCCTGCACCCTGCTTAATATTATCAGAACAGTAATCTGATGATTAGGAGAGATGGTGAAATGAAGCTTTATGTAGATGATCTCCTTTCATCTCTTCAGCTGACTCTTGGAGGCACTGCATTAAAGGATTGGTTTGATAAGGAATTCAGGGCTCCTGAGGGCAATTATCATTTTTACTCCCAGTATTTCTCAGATGGAAAGGAGTGAAAGCATCTACTGCTGTAATCTCCTTTATCCTTCAGCGTTGCTCTGAAGGCACAATCCAGTCACCCCTCACTGTGAACTGTGTATTCTGGAACGGTCTTGACACAGTAGCTGTTAAATTACAGGGCTGGAGCAAACGGCATCTTAAATTGGGATCCAGTGGAAAATCCCAGCAAAGCAGAAAGCCCTCAGAGTGCTTTTCCCTGCTGAGATGCTTCCAGCGCACTCACAGCCGTGGTTTCTGTATACCTTCACATCCCTTCAGCCAGTCTGGTGCTGTCCAGGTGTGCTCTGTTGCTCACTGCTGCAGCACCAGGTGTCCCTCCATGCTGACCACCCCGTTGCCACCATCCATCCTGCCCTAGGCTGCTGTTTGTGGAAGGGCTCACCTCACCATCAAACTTGCCCGCCCAGGTAACAATTCCTGCTCTAACACGTGGAGGAGAAAATAAGGTTGCTTCTGTTCAGGGCTGCCTGTGGGCACGGAGGTGCCTTTGTTAGAATTACCTTGTGCTGTCACTGCTAAGCTGCCGCTGATCTAATCACTTTTTCTCTTGTCTGTCTCCTTCCTTTTCCCATCTTCTTTGTTTTTGTGTTGTGCATCTCTGCGTCCCCGTAGTACAAGTCTGTGTTTAGGTCCTACTCGCAGGACTTTGTGCCTCACAACCAAGTCTCCGTACCTCCTTTCCTGTCTTCTACCTCCTCCTCCTGCTCCACCGCACCCTTTCCGCCCGTCCACCTGTCTCCGAGCTCTGACCTCGCAGTGCCAGCCACGGCCAGCCCGTCTCCCAGCACTGGGGATGTGCCAAACTCCTCTTCGCAGGAGAGCAGCTTTAACGGGAGTGCTCCTGTCTGCCTTCCTTCTGAAACCTCTCTCACTGATTCTCTGCAGACGCCTTCGGTGAGACTGTCCAAAGAGGTGATCGTGTGCACCTTAACGCAAGGCCGGGCTTGTTTTTGTTTTAAAGGAATGTCACTTGTGTTAATACTTGTGATTTGGTTTCCAAACTTGCGTGTGAATGCAGAGGGAGTTTTCTGTACAAAAACGGTGGCTGTAAATCTGAGCAACCCCACAGGTTTGAGAGGTTGGAAACATAAAATGTCAAATGCTGGTGAAGGGGAGAGGAAGAGAAGTTGCTATAGCTTCCTGCAATTGTGATACAAATCAGAGGAAGGTAAAGGAGTGCTTGGCGAGGTTGGCTCCCAGCAGTGCTTCACATCCTGCAGGAGCTGCATGTCTGCTCCCTGAGTCCCTGGTGAGCCCCAGGAGCAGTGACTTAGCTCAGCTCCACACTCTCCTTACATAAGCCACTACTTTCTGTGGGCTTCTGCTGTCCCCAGCTGCCAGCACTGCTGGCACTCAGTGCAAAGTGTAACGCAGTGCTGGAGTTGGGCTGAAAGCTGTTTCCTCAGTTCAAGGTCCCTGGTTGGTTTAGCAGGCCAGTAGGCAGGTTACTTCTTTAAGCACCTCATTTACAAGGCGATTTCTCATCTGTGTGTTGCAAAACCTACGGTTGATGGGATCAGAACCTCAACTCTGCCTCTTCACAGTACTGAGAAGAGGGACATACACCACAGAAATCAGTTTTTCACCTTTTAGACCTGACCTTGCTGTTGCATCTTTGTTGTTTCGGGTCCTCGTAAGCACCCAGCAGCCCTCAAGTCTGGCTCAGCCTGGCTCCTCAGGGCTGGCAGCGGCACAATGGCGCTTGTGCTCAGGCTCTGAACGCTTAACAGCTGCACGCTGGATGTCCTCATGTGCACTGTGCACCTGCACAGCTCCCATAGCAGCTCTTGCTACGCAGTGCCTGCTGCTGTCCTGCTGCAGCTCAGGGCCTTCAGGACAGTCCTTGAGAACTCCGGTCTGGTCACCTCTGGGAACATGCAGCTGGAGGACAGGCTGCCACCTCGGTGATGGCACCGCAGGGCGCAAGTGCTTGCTACCAGCCAACGCTGCCCAGGGGCACCGTCACGTATTTCCTTTCATCCTGTCTCCCCTAGAGTGAAAACGCCAGTGAGGAGGCTGGTGAGGGTGAATACGTCAATCTGTATTCCTCTGGCCAGAGCAACGGGGAACTCCCTCATGCTGGAGGAGTAAGTAACCGGGAGAGGCCACGCTCTGGGAAGGGGCTGCCTGGTGCATGCTGAGCTCACACTGTGGCCCGGCCCCTGCACACCCCGGGGTGCCCGGTCCCCTTGCTGGTGGTCCCTTCGCTTGCCGTCTCCTGGCTTGCAGGCTTTGATGGCCTCCTGTTCTGATGCTGAGAGCCCCGGCAGGATGGAGGGATGGCTTTGCCTTCCTCTGTGGCCCATTTGTGCTTTGCTGTTTGTTTGGAGCTGCTTGCGTAAGGTTCCCTTTTAGACAGCTGCACTCTGACCAGCACGGTCTTCTGTCTGTGTTTACTCTTGTAATCGCTTTGGCTTTCCTATTTCAATAAATAAAGCCTTGTGCTCCCCTTTTTTAATTCTTATTTTTCCTTCCCCACTTGGGTACGAAGTGATTGATCAACAGCACCGTAACCACGCACTGCTTCTTCCTTCCCTCCAGCCTCCTATCTGAGCTGTTGCCTTGAGATGGGACATACCCCATGGCAGGGAGGTGCCACCTTCCTGCTGTGTCACCTCAGAGCTCTGTGCTGGTCCCTTTGCCAGCCCTCACCTAGAGCAGCCCATCTGCAGGATGTTTCCAAAGCCGTTATCCCTGCTGGCATTAAATATCCAAGGAGACGGTGCTCCCATCATTCCCCTTCATTAGGACAGCCCCAGCCCTCTGGGCAATCACTAACTGATTCTTAACTTGGAAGCAAAGGACTTTACAGATAGATGCAGCCTGGAGAAATTCCACAGGTGCTGACAAATCTCAGCTCCCTGGTGCACCATCCCCACCAAAGCTGGGCAGGGTTAGAGGTGCTTTCAATCCTGTCAGTTCAGTAGATGGAATGTCCAAGGTTCGCTTTGCATGATGTTAAATAATTCTGAACTCCAGCACTGTTAGATTAATATCCCCATTTGCCATTCATGGCTGTTTCTCTCTTTAATAAACGGCTAATTTAAAGTGCTGCAACTCTATTTTCTCCGAGCTGTCCACCTGCTGTTCCATGCTGTGTTCGGGTGGTTCTGCTTGTTTGCATTAGCCTCATTTCCACAGCCATGAATTGTGAAGTGGAAGCGTTCCATCATTGTGTGAGCTCTTCTGATGGAGGAGAAGGGAGTAGGAAAGGCACTTTGCATCCCCCCCTCCCCAAGGCAGTCTGGTCTTTTGGGGGCTGTAACTGAGAGGGGAACTGAAACTGGAGAGCTTGGAGCTGGCTGTGTCCATTCTGATTAAAGCAGAAGGCAAGTGTATTTCAACAGTAAGGGCTGGAAAAAAAAAAGCAGTGAGAGAGTTAAAATTCAAGACAACAGCTGACTTGTGTTGTAACTTTCAGCATCATTTCACAACGTTAAAGGCAAACAATACTAATTGCACTAGTCTCCAGAGATGGTCCCAAATTTCCTATCTAATTAACTTCTGTGTTTTCCTGGCATTTGGCATTAACTTGCATCAATCTTTAACTGCTCTGAAGGAATTTACAGCAAAGAGCCGTTTAGAGGCAGTAAGACTGTAAATGCAGGCTTGGCTGTGATGCAGGATCCAGGACAAAAATGAAAAACTTCCTTCTCTTTGCAGGAATCTCCCTCTGTCAAAGACGGCCATTCCAAAGACTCCACTTCAAACAGCAGTGCCATGGGGAAGGAAGGCAAAGATGGTGCTGAGAGGTGAGCCTGGCTCCCCTGTTACAGCTGCTTCCCTGCTTGGAGGTGTGCAGAGCACCAGTGATGTTCCTCTCCCTTTCCTCTGCTGGGGCTCGTTGTGGCTGCCTCTTCTGCCCCCAGCCCTTCAGGTTTTAAGCCTATTCAGTTGGGTTCTTTTGCACAGTGGCAGAGCAGTGGGATCCTACTGCAGAAGGAGGATCAAGGCAAGATGTCATTAGTTAACTCAGCAAGCCAGTAGGGGTTAATGCAGCCTATGTTTGTCATTGCAAGGCCATCTAATTGGCAGTCCTGTCAGAGACACTGGCTGCTCCCTCCTGCTTCCAGGGAAACATGAAAAAAGTCTGTGTCACTGCTGGGAAATAGTCTTCAAGAAGGGAATTTCTTCCTAACCCTGCTAGTTAAAGGCTGGCAGAGGCCCCAGAGCAGGAGTCTTTATATCCCTTCTAATACTCTTAGCTATCATTTGCCTATGTAAATGAAGAGGTGCAGGCTGTAACAGATGGGCTTCAGTAGGAGTGGAGTGAGTGCTTCCCTGCTGCTCGAGATTGCTCTTCAATTGCATTTCTGAGGCAAAAATAGAGAACAGCATTGTTTTGTGTGTGACAGTCAACTTCCCTCCTCCTATTTTCTGCAGTTGGTTTGAGGCTTTTAATCCCTGCAGTGAAGGAGGCAATACAGCAGTGCTCTGCAAAGCTCAGTGCAGATTGTTGCACCAAATTCTGACCTGTGCCTGGGGAAAGCTGTAAGGGATGTGCACTTTTTCCATGTTCTTATGAATGCAGGCATCGAGAAAGTGCCCAGGTGCAAGAGCACCTGTCTGTGGAGTAATGTGCACCAAAAAAGTGGTCAGGATGCCAGATCTTCCTGCAGAAAGAGTATATGTATGTATATATATATATATATATATATATAATTTTTTTTGTCAGATCACAGCCCATAGCAGCAGCATTTGGAGCATGTTTAGTCTCTGTACATTTGAGGGAGGGCTTAGATTTGTGTGCACTAATAATCTGGTGAATTAAGGAGATGTGAAAGTGTGTATTCATGCAGGGCATGGTAAAATCCTTTGTGCCAGAAATCCAGGCAGGTCCTAAAGGTTGGTTTGTTTTTCAAGTGGTGCACAAACTAACAGAGTTACTGCTAGATCTGTAGGCTTGTTTGCAAAAGCTTTACCTCCAGGCCTTCTGTGTGCTTACTGCTACTTAGGGAGGATCTGTTCACTGAGAGCTCAGGTGGACTCAGCATCCCTCGGTCATCAGATGGACGACGACACTGATGGTTGTTTGCCTGTTTTTTACAGGCAGCAGCAGTCACCAGATGCTTTGGAATCGTCACAGCTGGAGGAAGAAGTGGATGAGCTCTCCCTTATCGACCACAGTGAAATTATGGCTAGGTTAACACTGAAGCAAGAGGTGGGCTCCTTCGGGGTGTTGTTCATGTTCTTTGGTTTATATTCTACTGAGAGCTGATTTTCTGAAGGCATGGTTAGCATGTTTCCCAAACAGGACATTGCGTTGCTGATGGAGAAGCCAATGTAAGAAATGACTTTGTTTCTGGCTTGGGTGCATTCCCAGACACTGTTGCTTACTATGCTCTTCAACCAAGCTGTTTTTTCATGCAGCTTGAGGGAATACACAAGCTTTTGAAGCTTTCAGATTTATCAGGGGCTATTCTGAACAATAGAAAGAACTTGTCATTTACTGACACTTTAGAAGTGTTCTTTGGGCAGCTGAGAGAGAGAATGAGAAGCTGTTGCTGATTCCATGAGTAGTATTTTATGTGTCTTGCCAGAGAGTCACTTGAATTCACATTTTAGAAATAGCTGCTCAATGGCTGCAAGTCTGTGGGTTTTTTTCCAGTGTTTTGCATATTAAAATAACAGGTTTAGATAAGGGAAGCCAGGCACGATTCCAGTCTGACCTGCAGGAATATTTCCATCAGCTTTAAAAAAAAAACACACAAAAACAACAGTGATTGCTGATCGTTTTGGAGTAGCAGATCTGCATCAGCCCTTAACTTTTTTCTTCCTTTTTTCTTCCTTTATGGTCTGCATATTATAAACAATAGAGTACTGCTCCTGCACCCCATTTCCTGCAGCGTGGGAACCACTGGCTGACTGACAGATGAGTGCTGCATATTTTCAGTTGCGAATAGCAGGAGCTAAAAGAGGGATGTTCTCAAAGCAATAATGCAGGGGTCAAGGAGTTAGCAGGGCTATTCTTCTGCTCCTGGTTATTGGATTGCTTCAGGTGACCTCCAGCCAAATAGTTCCAGATTAGGGAATTAACTTGCTAGGTTTTTGATGTTCCAGGGGCATGCAAGTTGAATGCACGACCTCTCACCCCACAGCCACTGTGGTACATGATCCTGCACTTTGAGACAGTTCACACAGAGCTGCTGTTCTGTTAATGGTCTTTTGGGAGCATTTGGGAGTCTGGGATATTTCTCTTCATTCTTCTGTGGCCAGAAGGTTCAGCTTTCACTGTGCTTCACAGCCTGGTTTTAAGGAGTCAAAGGCCCTGAGTGGTAATCGACCCAAATCCTCATCTGGGACACCAAATGTTTGACTCAAATTCCAGGATTAGCCCAGCGCTTTGAGATCGTGCCCCAACTTGAGCTGCAAACAGTGCCAGGAACAGTGTGTGCTCTGCCAGTCAGTGCTGAGTTTGAGCCCCAGAGATGGTAAACCAGACTGGAGCTTGGGTTGTGTGTAAAGCACTTCTGTTCTCATTGCAGGGAGATGATGGGCCAGATGTCCGCGGAGGATCTGGAGATATTTTGTTGGTGCATGCAACAGAGACCGACAGGAAAGGTACAGGGGATGCCCCGAAACACAGCTGGGGAGTATGACCTGATGTGGGCTTTTGCTGCTGGGCTTCTGCAGCTCTGTGGTGTGAGCAGTTACGATGTGACTCTTGCTGCTGGACCAGGGTGGAGAGCTCTGCATTAATCATCCCCTGAGTTGCAGGGGGGATTGTGCTTATCTTTGGTGAAACAGAGGTAAGCTGGATAAGCGCCTGGTCATTCCATTTAACAGCAGGGCTGGAATTAACTCCTCATGGCCCTGGAGCCGGTGGAACTGCTGCCATGGTGTCTCCAGGCCTGCTGAGGGCAGATGTTGTCTTCTGAAAGTGCAGAAGTGATGGGGGCTTTTGTACCCGTGGCCATCAGGCAGCCCGGTGGCACTGCTGCCACCCCCTCCTCACTGCCTCACTGCCTCATCCAGCTCTGTACCACTACCCCTAGACCAGGGCAGGGAGGGGATTTACTGCATGTGAAATGAGATGTAGAGGAGAGAGCCAGGGGTGGCAGCTCCTAGCTCTGTTTGTTGCAGCCCCACTCTCAATCCAGCCCCAGTCACCACCCATGTGGAGCAGCTCCTTTCTGAGAGCTGTGACACACACAGTCATTGCAGCATTTCCAGAGAGTGATTTTGAATCTGCCAAATGCATTTGTGCTGATGGCCTTTAACCAGAATTGATCTCCTTATCTCCTGGGATGCAAGGCGAAATGTTCTAACCCTCTGAACCACTCAGCTCTCATATTTTAGAGGTTTGATAGCCAAAGGGGAGATATCTTTCATGTGCATTTTTAAATGGCAGCTCTTATGCTGTAGCATAAGGTGTTTCCAATTACTTACAGCACCATTCAGCTCGCAGGAAAATCCTTCCCTTGGCAGATATATTTCCCTATTTACGTCAGGCATCAAATCCAGGCACAGAGGACCAAAGTTAGGAGCATACTAGAGAGAAGGAGGCAATTCATTGCCCTGTGGTTAGATAAGTACATTTAAAAAAAAATCTAAATGGAAATGCCCCATGTACAAAAGCCAAAACTGGAATAGAGAAGCTCTGATTTACTCTTGCTGTTCTCCAGAACAAGCATCACATTGGAAGAACTTCCCCACTGTGTTTAAAGACACCACTTGACAAAGGGATGTGTGCTCAACCACCAGTTCCTGAATGGGGAGCTCAGTGGAGGCTGCAGGCAGTGAGGTGAAGGCTGTGGAGAACCTCTTGAGATGAGGAAAAAGCAGAGCAGGATTCTGAATGCACAGCAGGACAGGGGGAGAGGATGGGCAGAGGGGGAGCGGTGCATTTCGCAGGGCCGTCGCACAGCTCAGCCTTGCATGCTCTGCCAAGCTGCTGATCTGAATGGAGCACGGAGGAATTTGTGCTATGCTAACCCAGTGTTTGGGTGACTGAGAGGGTTAATGAATTAAGCTTACAATGAGAAGAATTCAGGGCTTGTAAATCAATCAGCCAAACAGCACAGAGGGGTACAGTTAAGAGGCTTTCCTTTAAAGATGAATTTCTTGGCAGCTTTGAGTGCCAGAGCAGACCAGCTGTATTACCTCACGTTGCCTTTTGGGCAGATGGGAACCCAGAATAAATGCAACTCCACGCCCTGCTGCATGATGCTTCTTGTCCATTTGAGTTTCCTAAAAGAGCTAAATGGAATAAGGGATGAAAGGAGGCTTGTGGTCTTTGGGATCAAAATCCGTGGTCAGTTAAGTGCTCGCAGCCGCGTGCGAGTGCAGGATTACAGCTGGAGCAAGCCTAGGGCTCACCCCTGACATGACCACCCAGCCTCCAGCTTTACAGCTTACATCTGATCGCTTTAGCCAAGAGCCAGCAGCACGCTCTGCTTTCAGAGCACGACGAAGAAGCATCTCTGTGAGACTGCTGCCAAGAGGAGCACTGCAGGTAGCGACGCACGGCTCTCACGCCGTTCCCTGCTTTCCCACCCTTCCCTGCACAGTGGGCTCACGTTCTGACATGTGGGTGTGGGTGTGGGGTGCTCCCTGTCCTGGTGGAACGTGCACAGCCAAGCCTGGGCAGGCCCAGCAGGAGCCTTCCCCTGTGGGTGCTGCTGAGCCTCTCCAGTGGTTGCAGCGGGGCAGCAGGGCAGCGTGCCATCCCACTGCAGATGCTGACTGCAGCACAGCTTGGTTTGATATCAGGCCTAATTAACTTCCATTTTGATCACATGGCAGCGTTCGTGTCGTGGCAGGGTCACACACGGGGCAGAGTCAGTTTTTGCTGTGCAATTTACTCCTTTGGTTGAAAATAATCAGATATTTACGCTGCCCTGAGGCAGACTTCCTGGAATACAGCAAGGGCAGAGAGGCTGCAGCACCAAGCCATCACACTGAAATATGAGTGTTCCTGTTCAGGAGGGAAGTGACTGTCTTCTGCAGGGCTCTGTGCTGGCTGAGCAGTAAAGGCAGAACAGGCACCCACCTCTCATTGTCAGATCTTCTCTTTAAAGCATCCCCAGGGCTTTCAGCACATTTGAATTTGACCTGTTACTACAGTTCCTGTCCCACAAACAGGTGTGTTTCACCAATCCCTTTGGTGGTCGCATAAGCTTGAAAGCAAATTGAAGTACTGCAAATGGGAGCCAGCCTAGGGGACAGGGCAGCTCCTGCTCTTGTGCCTAAGGGTCCATCTGCTGGTGAGAAACAACAGCACAGCTTTCCTGTACGGCTCATCCTTGTCAAAATGTGTCTGTGTCGGTGTCCTCTTTCTGTGAGGCTGGATTCAATCTTACATGAAGCCTTGTTTTCTGCAGGCAGGGTTGACTGAGGCTTCCTTGTCTTTCTCTGTAGATCTGGTGCTGTACTGTGAAGCCTTCCTGACTACATACAGGACATTTATTACCCCTGAAGAGCTCATCAAGAAGCTGCAGTACAGATATCCTTTTCCATGAAAGGCAATTTGCCCCAGGGAGCAGAGCAGAGCAGTCGTCATGGAGGGAGCTGGTGGTGAGCTGGCTGGTCACAAACCTGCTGAGAGCATTGTGCTGTGATCGCCCTGCAGGTGCCCTGAGCAGCACTTCCTTCATCTCTGCTGCCTACAAATAGGAAATGCCACAGGGCAGGTCTGTAGGAAGCAGAGTGCTGGACCTGAGTGTGGTGTCCTGGGGGCCCTGGCAGGAGAGAAGAGCAGTTCAGATGTTCTGTACAGAACTGGGGAAGTTGCCATTTGTTTGTCCATTCTGGTCTGTAGAATGGGGATCGTGTGTCCGTCCTTCAGAGGGGCTGAGAGAATTGCTTGGGCAGATGTAGGTTAACACCAGCGATGGCTCAACTGTCAAGTCCTATTCTCCTTCTCATTACAAGAAATGCAACACAGAAGATAATGTCCTCTTAGCCTCCAGCTCTGAGCTTGTATCTGCTAACAAGGCCAGGGCTGCACGTACAGTGTGTTAGTGCTTCTGGCAGCGCAGAGCAGGCTGAGCACGCTGCATGCAGTGCCTCCCTTGGCTCTGTCCTTGTCACCCCCAGAGCCTGGTGGGCTCTGCTCCTGCTCACACCCACCACAAAAGCAGCCTGATGTCACCCTGCCCTGAGCCACAGCTCATCACTGCCATCTGCAGCAGGGACGGCCTCCCTCTCTCCTGCTGGGATCAGTGCTGCCAAGGACACTGCAGAATCTCCTTGGGGAGCAGCTGTCGGTGGAAGTATTGGCTGGGGCTCTCCTGCAGGCCCTCTTTGATATTTGGCTTGCTGTTTCTCTCTCCATTTGTGCACCTGGTGGAAACGTGCTCGGCCTCTGCTGTCTCCTTCACTGCCACTCCCCATTTGGGCAGAGAGGAAGGTGGAGGTGACGTCTGAGATCTGTTAGGAGACCTGAGAGATGTCTCAGTCTGGTGTGGGAGATGGCAGTAGAGGAGTGCAGCTCGTTAAATGCCACCTTAGAGGCAGTAGTCTGAGGGTCCACCTGCCCTGCTAGCATCAGTTCTGCAAGGCACAAGGACCCCCTCACACCCCTGCTGCATCCCTGGTGGCAGCTCAGTGCCATGTTAATTAGGGCCATAGCAGTGTCCTCCATCTCCTAGAAACTCAACACCAGTTTTAATCAAGATGGAGTAATATCCCTTCTGATGTTCCTCAGGGCAGCTGTTAATTGTTCTAGCGGTTGATTCTTTAATTTGCAACCAACATATGAGAAGTTTTGCCACTTCCCAGATACGTTTAAGAAGCGAGTCAGTAAGAACACCTTCTTCGTGCTGGTGAGAGTGGTGGATGAGCTGTGGTGAGTTGCCTTCATAGTTTTGGGGTGGGAGCTGCACAGTCTGTAACAACACCTGCGTCCTGGACTCGTCATCCTGATGGCTGCCCTGGCTTTGCCATCTTTCAGCTTAGTGGAGCTGACAGAGGAGATTCTCAAGCTGCTGATGGACCTGGTGTTCCGGCTGGTCTGCAACGGGGAGCTGAGCCTCGCCAGAGTGCTGCGCAAAAACATCCTGGACAAAGTGGATCAGAAGAAGATGCTGAGATATGCCAACTCCATCAAACCTCTTGCAGCCCGAGGGGTGGCAGCCAGGTGAGGAAGCACACGTGTGGCTATTTTCTTGGTCCCTTCTCAGGAGCAGGGCATCCCTTTTATTTGGACAAAAGGCTTTTCTCGGTCTAAAGTAGAAGAAAGGAAAGAAAGCAAGTTACATTTCCATATTCTTTCATCTTTCTTTCCCGCAGGCCGGGGACCTTGCATGATTTCCACAGTCATGAAATAGCCGAGCAGCTGACCCTCCTGGATGCTGAACTCTTCTATAAAATCGAGGTACGAAGACAAGGATGGGGGGGGGGGGGCAGAGGGAGAGACCTGCACACATCCCTCTGCAATCTCTGGTATTCCCAGCGTAATGCAGAGGACAGCTGAACTTGTGTCAGCAAAAGACCATGGCCACAGGCTGCAGCTGGGAACCCTGAGGCAGAAATCCCATGATAACGTGTGGTGTTCTGCCACCCCTCTGTTTTTCTTCCTGGGCAGATACCAGAAGTTTTGCTTTGGGCGAAAGAACAAAATGAAGAGAAGAGCCCCAACCTGACGCAGTTCACAGAGCACTTTAATAACATGTCCTACTGGTAAGGAGCTCACAGCACCCATGGCACTGAGCTGTGCCTAACCTCCCCTGTCTTAGAGCTCAGGATATTCCTTGCATATTGCATATGCCTTGCAGTTGGTCTCCTGTAAGTGGGATCATGTGTGTATTTTTGGCCAGGAAGTAGATGCAAGTTTGGTGGAGCTCAAGAGAAATAACATGATGAGTTCTGGAGGGCACTGTAACATGGAGGAATTACCCAGTACCACTGAGCCCTTCCAACAAATGTTCCCCTTGCGAATGAATGCACTCTGAATGATCATTGTTCTCATCCTTGGAGTTATTCCTCGCTCAGTTTGAGTTGGAGATATCAGAAACTTTTCAATATTGTTGATCCATCCTTAATAGTTGTCAGTTTTGTAAATGAAACGAGAGGAAATCTGAGATCTGCTGAAGTGAGTTTATCCTTCTCTGTTCTTCCAGGGTCCGTTCCATAATAATGCTGCAAGAGAAAGCCCAGGACCGAGAGAGGCTGCTCCTTAAGTTTATCAAGATTATGAAGGTATCAGCTCAGTGCTGTGAATCACCCATGCTGTTCTTTAGCAGCAGAGTGGGACGTGCCAGATGGTAAAGCTGTTTTATGTTCTGAGGCATTACAGATCTCTCTGTAACTCGTATATTTTCCCTCTTCACAGCACTTACGAAAGCTGAATAATTTTAATTCCTATCTGGCCATTCTTTCTGCACTGGATTCTGCACCCATCCGAAGGCTGGAGTGGCAGAAACAAACCTCAGAGGTGAGGAACAGTGCAAGGCTTTTATATGTAGGGGAAAAAGGATAACTGTGGCTGTGATATGAAGCAGCAGGGTGAGTTTTAACAGCTCAGCAGCATGACAGGGTGGAGGGCTGGTGGATGAATGCTCTTCAGTGGGCGTAATGGCACAGTGCTGGCAGCCTGCAGTGCTGCAGGGCTTTCTGACAGCTGTAGGAGTGCCAGCACTGCCCTGGGCTGAGGGAACAGATGCTTCCTCCCTGTGCAGTGAAGCTTTGGTGGAGCTGAAGGCAGTGAAGTTCTGTGAGAACACAAACTGAGCAAACTGAGCTGGTGGTGTTTGCAGGGTGGCGTCGACTCCCTGGGAGAGAGGTTACAAAGATAAAGGGGTGACTGGGGGCTTTGTGTTCTGCAGGGCCTGGCTGAGTACTGCACTCTGATCGACAGCTCCTCGTCCTTCCGCGCCTACCGGGCAGCCCTGGCTGATGTGGAACCTCCCTGCATCCCATACCTGTGAGTCGGTGCTTCCTTTCTTCTGCCTTTACTTCTGTGCATTCCAGCAGTTCCTTCCGTGGTTTCTCAGCAGCGTCAGCCCAGCTGAGCACTTAGCCTCTGTCCTACATCTAAAATGACGTCGTTGTGCCACGTCAGACCCACGTGCCCTCGGAGCAGTCTGTCCTGCAGCAGGGAGGCAGCCCTTGGCACAGCTCCCATTTGTGACACTGCGTTCCCAGTACAGGATGACTGGTTTTCTCCATCTGCTGCCACCGCTGAGGATCTCATTCCCTTTTATAACTGTGGATCAGAGCTCAGACCACCTGCTGCTGCTGTTTCAGATGCTTTATGTCTGGACTTTCTTTTAGTGAGGGTGACTGGCAAAGGAAAGATTCAGTGGCTGAATCTTCAGCAGACACCTTTTACCTATACTTTCTTTGGGGTCTGTTCACTGCAAGGCAAGTTTTCCATGAGCTGCAGTGGGTCCCACAGCTTCAAGCTGCTGCTTGCTCCTCTGAAACAGCTCAGATTCTTATGGTTGAGAAGAGCTGTTCAATTAAGAATCTCCCTTAGCAAACACAGGTGCTTCATCCTGTTGACTTGAAGCCCTTCCCTTCTTCTGCAGGGGCTCTCAGGTCGAGGTGGCACACTTGCTCTTGCACCAGTAGAACTTCTGATCTCGCTTTCTTCCATTGTACAATTCCTGGAGGAAGGAGAGTCGCCTGGTGGGGGACTGGGGAGGGCTGCAGGGGGTGCAGAGGGTGGTAATGAGCACAGCAGCTGTTCTTGCTCTCAGCTGCACTTAACACCTGAGCACCTCCATGTCTGCTGCCAGGGAGACGTTTCCCTCCAGTTTAAAGCTGGAGCTGGTCAGGTTCCGTGTGGCTGCCCTTGGCTGGCTGTCCTGCCCACGTATGGCAAACCTCTATGCTTGTTTGCCTACTCTCTGGCTCTATGCCCTTTTCTCTCTTTCAGAGGCCTAATTCTGCAGGACCTGACCTTTGTTCATCTGGGAAACCCAGACTACATCGACAGCAAGGTGAACTTCTCCAAGCGCTGGCAGCAGTTTAACATCCTGGACAGCATGAGGTGCTTCCAACAGGTGTAAGTGAGGCAGTGGGGTCTGAGCCGGGTACTGTGGGGGCACAGGAGGGACAACATCGAGGTGGAGCTGTAAGGGGACCTGGCAGTGACATGGTTACAGTGCTTGTGGTCTGCTCCCCTCCCTGGGTTAGATAAGATTACTGAGTTGTGATGGTGTTTTTCCAGTATTGCTTTTAGAAGCCCTGTCTTTGTTTTCCTACTCTTTCTTTCCATGGCAGATTTTGCTGTGGCTGAGAACAGAGGTTCTCAGGAACACAAAGGGCTTTCCTCAGTGGATATGGAATGGCCTGGGTTGAAAAGGAGCACAATGTTCATTCGGTTCCAACCCCCTGCTGTGTGCAGGGCCACCAACCAGGCTGCCCAGAGCCACATCCAGCCTGGCCTTGAATGCCTGCAGGGATGGGGCATCCACAGCCTCCTTGGGCAGCCTGTTCCAATGCGTCACCACCCTCTGCATGAAAAACTTCCTCCTGATATCCAACCTGATGATGTTTTGTCCCCTTGGTGTCACAGCCCATCACGAGCTGTGGGCTCAGGTGACACAGAACGCAGCGCAGGCTCTGTGTGGGGACGAGCGGGGGGTCCCTCAGCCCCTCGTTTAACTGCAGCCCTTCTCTGTGGTTCTGCAGACATTACGACATCAGGAGGAACGACGACATCGTGTCATTCTTCAACGACTTCAGCGACCATCTGGCAGAGGAGGCGCTGTGGGAACTGTCCCTCAAAATCAAACCTCGCAACATTACGAGGCGGAAAACAGACCGGGAGGAGAAAACTTAGGAAGAGGGTTTGTGCGAGCGAGGAGAATTGCTCGGCAGGCGCACGGAGGGCAGCTATGAGACTGGAGTTCAGTATTTGTACCTGTTACGGGGTGACACGGCCTCTCTCCGGGCTGGCAGCGACTTCGGGGCTGTGAGCGTTGGCAGAGCGGTGGCCGCCGTGCGGACGGCAGCAGGCTGAGAGTGGGCAGCGCTCGCCTCCCTCCTCCTCCCATCCCTCTGTGCCATCGAGCAGCTTTTCCACCAGGGAGAGAGCTTTGTGGAAGGAGGGTGCCAGGCAATGTGTTACTGATGGTGTTTGGAAACACGTGGGCTTTTGTCTTCATCCCGGACGGAGGGTGAGCAGAGCTCGGCGCCCGCGGGCTCATCTCATGGTGTTCAGCAGGCAGCAGCTGAGGCTTTTCCCAGGAAGATGGGGGTGAAGGAGCCCCGCTGCCTGCCGGAGGGCTGGGCTTGTTTACAGGGGGCTTCGCTTTGCCCCACATCTCTCTCGCCTTCTCAGTGAGGTGAAGGCACCGCTAATGGATACAGAAGAGGCACTGAATGGTGGGCAGGGAGCCGCCGTCTCCAGCCATCGTCCCCCCTCCTCCTCTCAGATCTCACTATTTAAGCCACAGTGATCCCTCTGACCCTTGGAAATGTTGATACCGTGGTACCGCGCTCACCTGCCCTGTGGGCCCGTATCTTGTAGTGATGGTACTAGCTTTTGCACAGTAAATTCTGTAGTATATGACTGTAAATATTAGTATTTAGAATCCATTGGAGATTTTTCTTTTTGATGCATGTCTGAATACCGATGGGTTTATAGGAAAAAAAAAAAAGTGCAAAACATGATGTGTATAAAACTCACAAGCAGTGACAGCATCGTTCCGAGTGCTGGAAGGAAAGAGGCTGAGGGCTGCCCCAGGGCACTGGAGGAGCCAGCAGCCCCTCCCTGGGGCTGGAAGGAGCCCCGTGCTCCCGGCCCCCTCCATTCCTCTCCTTGTTGCCAAATGGTTCTCATCCCAGTGACCCACGGTGCTGTGCTCAGAAGCCCCTTTCTGCCCCATCCCCAGCACTGCCCGCACCCCTCGCTCCCCTCCTATTCCGTGTGCCTTACTCTGCCCTTCCATCCCCACTTTGTGTCCCTGTCCCCTCTCCCAGGCTGTTTCCCCCCCTCCCTTCCTTTCTGGCCCCATTCAGTTGTTTACAGCGTGGGTCGTGGTTCTGAGCACATGCTGTAGGTTTTACCCCCTCGCAAGGCCTTCTGCAGAGCCGTGTCCCACAGTGGCAGGTTTTTCAGAGCTCCAGCACATCCCTGCAGCTCAGGGCAGTGGCTCACACGGGATGTTTTGCAGAGCATCCTCGCTTTACTTCTCCATCGCAGGTCAATGTTTGCCAAGCTCCTGTTTGTTCTGGGTGGATCAGAGTGACGAGCATTTCCTTCTGCAGATTGCAAAGCCTTGCCTGGCCATGCCTGCAGCGCGGTGCTTTGCTCCGCTCATGAGGTTGCACCCAAAATCATCATTTTCCTACTGGCACCGGGGCTGCAAGTGCAGGACAGCCTGGTGTGTGAGGTGAGCTGTGCTCTGTGCTGCACAGCCCGCAGCAGCAGGAGGAGCGGAGCCCTGGCTGTGCTGTGGCACTGAGTCAGAACATTTCAAAACCTTTTATTTTTTTATGGCACTGTTAAGAGCCCTGGGGCTGCGCACTATGCCCGGCCAAAGCTTTGCAATCCCCAAAGCAGGAAGTGATTTTTATTTTCCTTTGTAAATAAGATTTAAAGAAAGCAACACAATGAGATGGAAATGGCAAACGCAGCCCCTCCACCTGGTGCAGAGCTGTGCTGCCCCATCGCTGCTGTGTGCTGCAGGAGTGACAGCGCAGGGGCAGCACTACGATGGCCCCAGCACTCCAGGTCCCCACGTTCTGGGGATGAAGGGAGCAGCAGTGCTTTGCCCAGGGCTCCATGCAGAGGGATGGGGTTGGGGGCACCCGGCTCTCAGCTCACCTCTCCCCTGGGGTTCTGTTCTCCCAGGGGCAGGCAGAGGGAAGCGATGTGCTTTGCTATCAGCACTGGGCTGCTCCCCAGCCTCCCCGCAGCCCAGCTGTTTGGCTGTATGATATATTATATACCACTAACCCAGTCCCAACGGTGGCATCTTCCTGCAAACATTTCAAACCTGTAACTTTTATATTAAAGACAAATAAATACCAGTAACAAACCTGCCTAACGATCCTGTTTACAGTGCATGCAGCAGTCTGTGGATTAAAGTGACAATCGAATCCGCTCCTCAAGTTGGTGTGGCCTCGTGTTTTCTCACATCCCCATCCGGCTTCTCCTCTGCCATTGGCCCTTTTTGCTGTACATCACTTGCTCCCCCACTGTGGACACCCCCCCCCCTCCAAGCACAGCCCAGGACCCTGCAGGGAACATCTCTTCCTGTCCTCCTCTGGGCACTGATGGGAACGGAGGGCTCTGAACCCTTTGCTGCAGCCCAGCCCGCAGCTTGGCCATAAATAACCCCCGAGCGGCTGCCGGTGCTATTTCAGTCCTGGATGAGGTTCAAAATTCCTCTGGAAATAATGGGCAGAGGAGGATGCTCAGACGCTGAGCAGCACGCGACGCCGGCTGTGAGTGTGGGGGCCTTGGAGGAAGTCCCAGGTTGACCGACTGGAGGAGAATTTGCCCTAACGTTTGCGGTGGATGAAAGCCATGGGTGGGAAGGGGCTGTGATGCGCACAGAACACAAAGGCTTTGGCTGTGTGTATTTTATTTAGAACTGGAAGCTGCGAGGAGGAGGCGATGCAGCACAGCTGTGCATGCAGCATTGCTGTAGAAACTCAAATACGTGGGGAATCTTTGCACAATCCTAATTACCAGGGGGACTTGCTTGCACACCCAGAGCAGCCTATGAGGAGCTGTGGGGCCGTTTGCTCCATTCCGAGCCCCAGCCCTGCACAGTGCCACGCATCCCCCTGTGTCCCGGAGCTGTGCTGCTGCCCTCAGCGTTGTGCAGCTCCCCGTATCGGTCCCAACAGTCACTGAGCACCCTGGTGCAGGGGCCGACGCTGCACACGGCTGCTGGACTCGGTGCCGCCATCGCTGCTCCTCACTGACGGCACTCAGCTCTGCGCTCCGTGTCCCCGCGGCCCCATCACCAGTACAGAGCCACCAGGACATAGACGACCCAACTGAAGGAGACGAACAGCCCCAGGATGAGGCTGAACAGCACCAGCGACTGCGCCTTCTTGGACGCTGCCTGGGCCTGGGCCAAGTCCCCGCGGCCGAGCGCAGCACGGGTCTGGCGTGGGGAGAAGGGGAAAGGTCAGCGGGGTCACGGCCTGAGGCAGGGGCTGAGCGGGGCCCGTCCTTACCTCATGTGAATACAGGAGGGCGGCGAGTCCGGTCAGCAGGCAGCAGAACAACGTCACCAGCACCGACTCCACCAGGTAGTCCTTGGGCGGCTGCTGGGCGGCGGTTGGAGGCCCCGTGCCAGGAGGCCCCACGGACTGCAAGGACAGAGTGTGGGTCAGCAGCCGTGTGTACCCGTGGAGGCCGAGGGGAGCAGGCCTGGTTACGTACGGCGGTGCAGGGCAGCGGCTGCTGTATGAAGGGCGGCGGGTGGGGATGGGGCTGGGGGTAGAAAACCCCCGGGAACAGCAGCTCCGCGCTCTTGGGGTCGGGCGGTGAGTAGGGCGGCGGGTCCTCCTCAAAGGCCACATTGCTGACAGCCACCACCTGTCGCTCAGCCTCCATCCTGCCGGCCTCTTCCATCCCTCCAGGCCTTGGGCGGCCCCGACCCAGCGTTAATCATTGACCGACGGCATCCGGCGGTGGCAGGCAGGGATGGGGTGAGCAGGGCTGCGATTTGTCGCAGTAAACACGGCTGTTGGGACAGAAACTGCATTCATAGCACATGGTTTAGCTACATACTTACATTAAATACGTGCCACATCCATTTAGCTATGAATATGCACATCCTTCAGCCCTTAAGTATATAGGTGAATAGAGGATCCCTGCACCTATTAGAATGTAACTTAAAGTGCTCATACACCTGTGTGTGAGCCTACGTAGTTACTTAGCCCACTGTGTGTGCGCATCATGAACATACGCAGTCATGCATCCATCTGTGTGGTGTCCTTACAGCTGTACATTGCACAGCCTTTTGGCTATAGCCACACCTTTGCACGCACCTACTCAGAGATGCACATACAAGTATAGACGATGCACAGGTGCCCCCTGTGTGCCCCTCGCAGCCCCACACGCACACAGTGCCGCCCCCCACACCGCCCGCCCCGCCGCGGCCCCACGTGTCAGCGCCGCACCGCCCCGTGCCCGAGCCCCGCCCCCCGCTGGGCCACGCCCCCATCTAAGCCCCGCCCTCCGTTAGTCACGTCTCATATAAGCCACGCCCAACGACGAGACCCGCCCCGTCACGCGCTCCCGCCGCCCCTCCCCACCGACTACATTTCCCAGCGCCCCCCGCGGCGGCGCCGCTCCGCCCGGCTCGCCCCGCGCCCGCCATGGCCTCCGCCGGCGGCGCCGAGCCCGAGCGGCCGCACCCGAAGCCATTCCTCATCGGCGTCAGCGGCGGCACCGCCAGCGGCAAAGTGAGAGCGGCTCCGGGCGCGCGGTACCGCCGGGGCGATGGGGGGGAGGGGTTCGGTTCGGTTCGTCGGCGCCGGGCGCTGATCCGCCGCCCTCAGTCCACAGTGTGCGAGAAGATCATGGAGCTGCTGGGGCAGAACGAGGTGGAGCGGCGGCAGCGCAAAGTGCTGATCCTCAGCCAGGACAGCTTCTACAAGGTGCTGACGGCCGAGCAGCAGGGCAAGGCGCTGAAGGGGCAGTACAACTTCGACCACCCGGGTACGGCGTGCCCCATCCCGCGGCGTGCCGCTCTGAGCTCCATTCCGCTGTGACCGCGCCGTTCGTTCGGCTGCCGGCATTCCGGGCCTCACCGAACCTTCTTAACCTTCTTCCTCTCGCTCCCATCCCTCTTGCAGACGCTTTTGATAACGATTTGATGCGCGCAACCCTAAAAAACATCGTGGAGGGAAAGACGGTGGAGGTGCCGACCTACGACTTCGTGACCCATTCGAGGTACGGCGCGGTTCGGTTCGGTTCAGGGCGGAGCTGCTCAGCACAGCACAGCACAGCGCCGTGCCGTTCCCGTTCCCGGCAGGATGCCGGACACCACCGTGGTGTACCCGGCCGACGTGGTGCTGTTCGAGGGCATCCTGGTGTTCTACAACCAGGACATCCGCGATATGTTCCACCTGCGGCTCTTCGTGGACACGGACTCCGACGTGCGGCTGTCCCGCAGAGGTACGATCCGCCGGCCGTCGTTCTGCTGCCGGTTCTTATCCGTCCGTCCCCGCGATAGAACTCGGGGTTTTTTTGATCTTCCCGTTCCAGTTCTGCGAGATATGAAGCGTGGGAGGGACCTGGAGCAGATCCTCACGCAGTACACCACGTTTGTGAAGCCCGCCTTCGAGGAGTTCTGCTTGCCGGTACCGAGCGTTCGTTTGCATTGAGTGCTGGGGACCGAAAGAGCCTGGGGAGGAGCTGTAGGTGCAGCCGTGCTGGGAACTGCCTTTGGGAGTTGGATTTTGTGAGCGAGAGCCGTGCTCCACCTCTCCCTCTCCCAGCCCTCATGAGGCGGAGATCCCTCCTTCACTGCACAAAGCTGTAGTGCAATGCTGTGTTTTGCATTTTCCTCATTGCTGGGGCTGCAGTAGCACGGATCCCTTGCACTGAAAAACTCCCTCTCTATGTTTATCCTTTAAGCCTTGCAGGAGACCAGGTTGCAGCCCACTCTGAACAGGGAGAGAGCAGAGAAACTCAGAGGCAGACCAGTCTATTTTGCTGCACAATGCACTTTAGGTGCTTGTGTGACTGAGATGTTACCATCATAGGCAGCTTTAACTCACAGCACTAGAGCATAACGCTTTGCCCATCTTTGCACTCAGATTGGTAAGAACAAAACTTTCCCATTAACAGTCTCCACCCCCATTGCTGTTTTGCAGACAAAGAAGTACGCAGATGTGATCATCCCCCGAGGAGTTGACAACATGGGTAAAAAAGGGAGTTCAGTTCTCTGCCTAATTTCTCTGGGGAGAGCAGCTCTGGGGTTGGGAAGGGAGAGTACGTGGCAACCAGGGCCCTGGTGGCACACTTCTGAGCGTGCCACATTGTGTTGGAGGGAGATGCTCCCGGATTACCAGCTGCAGATCTGTAGAAGGCTGGAACAAGGGATAAGCAGTTGTAGATGCAAAACAGGACCCTGAGTTCAAAGCTGATGGTGCAGGTCTCATTGCGGGGGGCTGGTATAGCTTCATTTAAAGGCTGGTTAAAACTCGAGTTGGATGGGGCCGGATGCTCCACTTGTTCCAGGTAGCTCAGCAGAGAAAGCTGACGTGTGTTGTGTGTTTCCCACTCCTCTGGCTGCAGTGGCTATAAACCTCATAGTCCAGCACATTCAAGACATCCTGAATGGAGACATCTGCAAGTGGCAGCGAGGGGCAGTGAATGGACACGGTCGGACCTACAAGCGCCCATTCTCTGAGCAAGCAGAGAGCAGCAGTGTGTTGGCAGCTGGCAAGAGGTCCCATCTGGAGTCCAGCAGCCGTCCGCACTAACCTGACGCTGAAGGATTTGCCTCTGGTCCAGACCAACACTGCAAACAACTTTGGGAAAGAAAGACTGCACCAAGACACCCAGTGAAGTCATCAGAGCAGCAAGGTGACAGCGGTGCGAGGAGCAGTTGGACTATGGCCCCTCTCCCCTCCAAAACCTTCCTCCCTGAGATATCTGAATCTATTAATCAACTCTTTAAAGGCAGTTCTGCTTGCCTTCTTAATTTTCAAAATGGAATCTAATACTGAAGTTTATCCTGAAAGTAACCAGGTGTTTAGCAAGAGACCCCATTTCCCTGATGATGCTGTTTCTTAGCAGGAAGGTTAAAGGCCTGAACAGTCCCTTTTTCCAAGCGGCTCACAGTCTGTTGATTTCAACAAGCAGGTACAGTCCTTGCTCTTCTCCTGCCTTGCTCTGACCCTTAAGTTCTCACACTGCTCTCCTGCTGGCCAACCTTGGCAACCTGTAGCAGCCTGTGGGGACAGGAATGCAACTTCATGAGTGCAGCCAGAGAGGAACCTCCCCCAGGTTAGAGAGAGGTCTGGAACAAATGGAAACTTACTCTTCATTGAGGGGACGGGCCAAGAAGCAGCGTGGTTCTGTTCTTACAAAGTGATACCTTTCTAAGCTACTGCACCTTGCTGTGCCGTACGCAGAGAAGGCTTCTATTTTTGTACCCAAACAGTGTTTCCTTTACCACAGTTAGCTGAACGTGTGAGCTCCAACTGGATTGAGTTGCTCATGAGAACAGAAACCCGCCCTTGTCAGCGCTGGTGTCTTTTAGGGCACTTCTGTTCTGCTGGTTGCAGATTCTGCTGGGCAGAATCCATCCACTTCCAGAGCTGGGTGGTGAAACCGACAAGGGGAAAGCTGTGAAATGCAAGACCCTCCTTGTGCTGCCACCAGCAGCTGTCTATCTAAACCATCATGGTGGTTTTACCATCAACCAGGGCACAGCGACTAAATGGATGAACGTTCTGGTTTTCTAACAAACAAAAACAACCCCCAGCAACAAAACCTAACAGATCAGAGGCTGGAAGTACAAACAGTGACGTCCCCATTTCTGCAATTTACCCCACGTAGCTTCAGCAACATGAAGTTTCTGGCAAAAAATGTGAAATGAAGTTGGGCCTCTGAGAATGTCCTTGTTACATCCTTCTCAAGTCTATAATCACAGAGCAATTTTAAGAATGGGGTGGGGGGAAATGTTACTAAGAGGGACTTTTTGATATTTTGTGATTGATTTTTTTCTAAACTTCAATCTGGCTGTGTTGGTAACTTTGGCTAATAAACACATGAACAAACATGAACAGAAGTGACCATTTTATATAAAAGGCTTTTGTGTTACACCTGTACAAATGTCTGAGAAGAAATGCTTCTTGAGATGCTCTTACAATCAATTCTTTTCTTGCTTTGTTTAAATTAGTTTTAGTTCTGTAATGGCTGAGCTTTAGAGATTAAAAAAAAGCAAAACAAGAAATGCAGTCTGCGTGTCATACCACTGTCAGCAGTAGATGTGAGTAAAGGTTTGTTATCTGCTAATGAGCATTTCTGCAAGTCAGACAGACACACTGAGGTGTGAGATGCTGCACTGAAGCACCAGCTGTCAATGCAGCTTTAAGGAGGAGCAACACAGTGACTAAAGCCTACTTTCAATGACTGTAGTGTTAGATCACATCTTCTTCATGGGGAGAAGATGAGGAGCAGCCATTTGTTAGGGCAGAAAGGAATGCTACAGTGAAAAGCATCCCGGCCCTTGAGGACTGGAGTTCTTAGTCAGCTCCTGGCTGCTGCAGACACTAAATCAATAAAATCACTGTGGCAGAAATACTGCATCCCTTGGGGGCTGCACGTACAGAGCTATCAGACATTCCCCAGTGAAAAGCCCCAGTCCTTAGCTCGTACCTCCTGCTACGCTGTGAATTGCCCTGCTGCTGCAAGACAGGCTGAATTACCCACAAAGCTGTTAACCTGAGCCAGTGCATGCAGTTCAGAGCACTCTTCCTTGTTCCCATGACTCCTCCGACTCGTGCTGCAGCTCTGTAAATACAGCACAGCTGCTGTTGGTAGCAGGCCATGGAACTGTGCTCAAAACACCTACTTTACTACTGAGAACTTTTCTGTAACAGTATACTACAAGAATTTTAAATTTCTTTTTGTTATAGCTTGATTCAATTACTATCAATTATTTGATCAGACTTAAAAAAAAAAAAAAAAAAATTCAGTAACAGAATCACAAGGTTGGAAACGACCTGCAAGATCATCCAGTCCAACCACCCTCCCATTCCTATCAGTGCCACAAGCTACTAAACCATCTCTCGTAGCTCCTCATCCAGGCAACACTAACAATACAATCAACTTTGCATAGGAGATGTGTTGTCCTTCACCTGCACCAAGACTGTCAGCGTCCCTGCTTTGGGATGAGGATGTTCCAGCTGTCCTTCCAGCGCAGGTCCTTGAGCTCAGCAACAGACAGGGGCTGCCCATAGGTCACAGGGCTGAAGGTGCGATAGGCAAAGCACACTGAGGAGAACCA